TATCGTGTGATGCGTTCTCCAGATGGTGTTTAAGACTGGAGTGTTTTGAATGCAGGAGATGGGCTTTGGGGATAGGGAGGTGGAGGGTGGATGTGAGGGGGGTGAGAGAAAGTTACAGACGCACATATCATACCGCCCCAAAAATGCTAACTTCCCCTGTTATTGTAATGGTAAGAGGTTAGCATGTCTTGGGGGTATGATATTTGTGCGTCTAACTTTATCACTCATCATTATTCACGATTCATTCAGGACTATCTGTGATCATGGTAGCATCCACATTAATGTAGAAGTGTTTAGAATCATATTATATTCTTATTTAGAATAAAAGTGACTCCAAAATGACACTACATTATTTACCATTAATTTCTATTGGGCACAAAATAATCTGAAACACAAACAGCAAATGCATCCAACAAGTTTGTAGAGTCACAGGCTTGATGTAGTTATTGCGTGCTAGGAATATGGGACCAAATACTAAACTTTTGACATTAATACACATATGTGAATTTGTCCCAATATTTTTGGTCCCCTAAAATGTGGGACTATGTACAAGAAGTGCTCTAATTTCTAAACGGTTCACCCAATATGGATGAAAATACCCTCAAATTAAAGTTACAGTCTGCACTTTAACCTCATAGTCATTGAATAATTTCAATCCAAAGTGCTGGAGTACAGAGCCAAAACAGAAAACATTTGTCACTGTCCCAATACTTTTGGAGCTCACTGTAGATGTGGCTCTGATTAGTCCAATAGCAAGTGCAGGTTAGAAATACGCCCTCACAAATTCCCTGGGTATAAATCTAGTCCTCTCTCTCTGAGGTGCAGAGGTCTGAGTAAACAACCTATTTGGAGGAGAGAGAAAAAAGAAAAAGGCGCTGGTCTGTTTTTTCAATTATGTTGTTGTTTTTATAGTGCAATTTTGGTCAGACAGAAGTGCAGTAAATGAATGCAGACTGTTTTTCCTCTCTTCTAGGGAAGGAAACACGGGACGGGGGAGGGATGGGGAGATGATGCATGGAGGAAGAGAAGAGGAGAGGAGAGAAGTGGGAGGGAGGGAGGGAGGGAGGGACGTTTTTGGCTTCCCGGTCAGAGTTTCTGTTTATCAGTTCCAATGACAGGGGATGGACTTTTTCTATAATTTTGTTTTTAGCTGTTGAGCACACTGTTAGTGTGTTTCTCAACCCTCCTCCACCTCCACTCCATTCTTCCTCCACTCCTCCTCTTCCTCCTCTTTTCTCTTGTTTTATCCAAAGCTTAATCAACGTAGTTTGGACTGGCAGTCAGCTGGCAGTGTTTAAGAGGGGTTCCATGTTAAAATAAAAAGCACCATGGGGAATGTGACCCCTGATTCCCGTAAACCCTCTCCTCTCCTCTCCTCTCCTCTCCTCTCCTCTCCTCTCCTCTCCTCTCCTCTCCTCTCCTCTCCTCTCCTCTCCTCTCCTCTCCTCTCCTCTCCTCTCCTCTCCTCTCCTCTCCTCTCCTCTCCTACTGGGCCAATAAAAGTATTTAAAAAAAAACTCCTCTCCTCTAAGCCAGCTGCTGCTGCATAATACGTTTTCCTAATGGAGACCATAATCTCTCTCTCTCCCCCCTTCCTTTGTCATTTTTTTTTGGTGTGCAAAAATGTCATCCATTTTGCCTGCCCTCACCATTCAATCACATTGAAAAATATTGTCAGTGTGTGTTTTTAAACAATGAAACCTCCTTTTGAATTGCATTTAGATTTATAGGCCAAGAGCTGGTAAGCTTTCACTAGGCACACTGTTATTGCCCTCTTAGACCTTGGAATTTGAGAGAGAGAGCGAAAGAGAGAGAGAGATCCAATTGGCTATACTTAAACTCTTGGGAAAATCCTCTGCATTAACAGCAGACTATTTCATTTCCTCAGTGAAAACAATGTACTGAGCAAATGTCAAATTGGCTTTTTACCAAATTACCGTATGACACACCACGTATACACCCTGCACACCCTAATTAACAAAAAAACAAACCAAATCATGCTTTGTTCATTTCAAAAAAGCTTTTCACTCAATTTGGCATGAGGGTCTGCTATACAAATTGATGGAAAGTGGGGTTGGGGGAAAAACATTATAAAATCCATGTACACAAACAACAAGTGTACTGTTAAAATTGCCAGAAAACACAAATGTCTTTCCACAGGGCCGTGGGGTAAGACAGGGATGCAGTTTAAGCCCCACCCTCTTCAACATATATCAACGAATTGGCGAGGGCACTAGAACAGTCTGCAGCACCCGGCCACACCCTACTAGAATCTGAAGACAACTGTTTGCTGATGATCTGGTGCTTCTGTCACCAACCAAGGAGGGCCTAAAGCACCTAGATCTTCTGCACAGATTCTGTCAGAACTGGGCCCTGACAGTAAATCTCAGTAGGACAAAAATAATGGTGTTCCAAAAAAGGTCCAGTTGCCAGGACCACAAATACAAATTCCATCTAGACACCATTGCCCTAGAGCACACAAAAAACTATACATACCTCGGCCTAAACATCAGCGCCACAGGTAACTTCCACAAAGCTGTGAACGATCTGAGAGACAAGTCAAGAAGGGCCATCAAAATCCTTCTATGCCATCAAAAGGAACATAAAATTTGACATACCAATTAGGATCTGGCTAAAAGTACTTGAATCAGTTATAGAACCCATTGCCCTTTATGGTTGTGAGGTCTGGGGTCCGCTCACCAACCAAGAATTCACAAAATGGGACAAACTCCAAATTGAGACTCTGCATGCAGAATTCTGCACAAATATCCTCAGTGTACAACAAAAAACAGCAAACCAGAATGCTGTTTGGCTCTAAACAGAGAGTACACAGTGGCAGAATACCTGACCACTGTGACTGACCCAAACTTAAGGAAAGCTTTGACTATGTACAGACTCAGTGAGCATAGCCTTGCTATTGAGAAAGGCCGTAGGCAGACCTGGCTCTCAAGAGAAGACAGGCTATGTGCACACTGCCCTCAAAATGAGGTGGAAACTGAGCTGCACTTCCTAACCTCCTGCCAAAGGTATGACCATATTAGAGACACATATTTCCCTCAGATTACAGAGATCCACAAAGAATTCGAAAACAAACCCAATTTTGATAAGGGAGTTTATCTACTGGGTGAAAAACCACAGTGTGCCATCACAGCAGCAAGATTTGAGACCTGTTGCCACAAGAAAAAGGCAACCAGTGAAGAACAAACACCATTGTAAATACAACCCATGTTTATTTATTTTCCCATTTGTACTTTAACTATTTGCACATTGTTACAACACTGTAGATATACATAATGACATTTGAAATGTATTTATTCTTTTGGAACTTCTGAGTGTAATGAGAGAGAGAGAGAGAGAGAGAAAGAGAGAGATTAAACCCAGTTATAATATTACACTTTTAGGGGACTGTATCGCCGTCTCATCTCGCCTTTCTTTTCAGCCCCGACAATGGGGCTCTTTCTGGCAAACACTCAGTCTATGGTTGCTGTGTGTGTGTGACTGGGAATAGTGAGTGTGTGTTGCTCTTTCTCTCTCCTCTGCCCTCTGTGTATGTGCTGTATTCGGCATTGTTTGGGTGGAGCAGGGCCTGTTGGACGGGGTTTGCACTTCTGGGATCTTTCTATTCAAATAGTTGTAACAGGCAAGCTCAATCAAGCACATATAGTAGTATTTGAAATGATTTCAAATAGTATTTGAACTCAGGTCGGCCCTGTGTGTGTGTCCAGGTCTTTGCAGTTCTTGGAGGGGTGGGGCTGGGTCTTTCCTCAGGCCATGGGAAAATCTACCAGTCTTAATGGGAGATTAAACAGTACAATTTCTACCACTCTAACAACCACATTCTCACTCTCCTCTTCCAGCTGGAACAACCATATTCAGAAGAACCATAACACAACCACTGGATAACTAACTAATACCGAATGCAGCCACAGTGAAGCAGGGGCAGGGCTCCATTCCCATAATGGGTATAATAGTACTAGAAGTTGCCCCGTAACCACTGATCTAGGATCAGATATCCCAATCCTAACCCCAACCATCAGGAGGTTTTAGAAACAATCTGACTCTTTAGATACAATCTGCCCCTGTATCAGTGGTTCGGGGCAACTTCTACCTACTATTGGTGGACTTGGGAAGAAGGAGAGTAAGAGAGTGTCTGTGAATGACAGGAACATTGCCTGGAGGAAGTCTAATTTGCCAATGTCACGGTCATCTCTTGACATTCAGGAAAATTGCAAAGAATAACCCGAATTACAGAGGCTGCCAGGCTTTCTAGGCAACCGACCTGCGTAGTCTTGAAGTGTGTGTACGGGTGAATGCTTGTGTGTGTGTCTGTTTCTGTGTGTCATTCTGTAAGTGAGTGTCAAGGCTTTCTGCCACGCTGCCTGTTATATTATAGCTTAATGTGGATCCCTCTTCCATCTTATGAGTCAGACTTTACACCACTCTGCTGCATATACAGTATGTAAAGGACACACGCACAATACGGTGCCAGGTTAATGTGCTGTAGATTTAGAAACATCAGCAATGAGCGCATAATGGAATGTTTACATAGCTAGCAGTGAGACAGAGACAGACAGAAAGCCAGGCATAGCAGGACAGTTAGATACAGTTATAGTCACTGGGACTGTCAAGGCATGATGGAGCTCCCTACCATTACCTCATTGTCTCACCCCACCATTTCCTTTACCACAATACTAAACAGTACAGTACATCAGATCATACAGCATACAGGTGCCCACAAAGACCAAGCCTGAGAGAGAGAACAGGTCAATGATGATATATCAGTCGACATGTAAACTAGATTATTTGTTTCTTTTGTCTCCTTTTCCTTTCTCTTTCTCTTCCCCCTCTCTCTTGCCCCCCTTCCTCTTCTCTCTCTGTATCTCCCCTTCTCCCTCCCTCTTTCCACTAATCTCTGTCTCTTTCCACTCTCTCTTGCTCTCTCCCTCTCCCTCTTTCCACTCCTCCCCCACGCTCTCTCTCTCACTCTGCCTGCTGTCCAGATGTGGAGCAGATGGCTATTGACTGGCTGACAGGAAACTTCTACTTTGTGGATGACGTGGACGACCGGATCTTTGTGTGTGACAAGGACGGACAGACGTGTGTCACCCTGCTGGACCAGGAGCTGTACAACCCCAAGGGCATCGCCCTGGACCCCACTATGGGGTGAGGACACGCACAGTCACACACACACACAGTCACACTCCAAACGCGCGCACACACACACACATTTGCATAGGCTGCATACACACACGCACGCCCACAGACTGCGTATGGCTCCGTGTTTTGTCTTTTAAGTTATGTCTTATATCAATCCATCACCACACATGAAGTTCCCTCCAAGGAAATAAAGGTTATTTGAATTGAATAGATTTACACACCTGCAAAATCATATTAGCATTTTACATATGCACACATTCACACTTACAAACAAACACTCTTCAATGCCCCCATTTGTTGGTCAAGGTTGGATGTGCATGTCCTTGCATGTACCAAGTGAGTCAGGGATATTCACACTGCAGTCTGTCTGTCCTCCCTCCTTTATCCCATGGGAACAGACCAATGTCCCACAGCACGTGTGCTTTAACACGGCATAACAGTCCCATGAGAGGCCCAATATTTGGGCCACAGTAGTCTGTCATTGTTACACAACCCAAAACAATGGGCTGGGGGTGGGTTGAGGGTCGGAGGGTTCCAGTTTTCCCAAACACTTGGAAGTGATTGGTCCGTGGGCTGCTGACTGCAAGTTTGGGGGAGCAGTAATTTAGTGCAGATGTTTCATTTGTGTTGTTCAGCCCTGAGCCCCTGAGCGCTCCCAAATCCTGCCTTTTCACTGTTTTTCTATAGTCATGTTTTTATTTCAGCCCTGCCGTTAATGACGGGTCTCGAAACTCAATTCCAAAAGGGGTTGTGTGTGTGTGTGTGTGTGCTCTCCATGTGTATACGTGTCTCTGTTTGTGTGCGTGCGTTCATGTGCAAGTATTTGTTTTTCATTCCAACCAATTTCCAGTGCTATAATTGACTGTGCAGTAATATACTCTGGTACATTTATTTCCCCTGCCTGATGTTGTCCAGCTACTATAATGTTTTTGGCTGTAGTTTAGAGATTATATACAGTGGGGAAAAAAAGTATTTAGTCAGCCACCAATTGTGCAAGTTCTCCCACTTAAAAAGATGAGAGAGGCCTGTAATTTTCATCATAGGTACACGTCAACTATGACAGACAAAATGAGAAAAAAAAATCCAGAAAATCACATTGTAGGATTTTTTATGAATTTATTTGCAAATTATGGTGGAAAATAAGTATTTGGTCAATAAAAAAAGTTTCTCAATACTTTGTTATATACCCTTTGTTGGCAATGACACAGGTCAAACGTTTTCTGTAAGTCTTCACAAGGTTTTCACACACTGTTGCTGGTATTTTGGCCCATTCCTCCATGCAGATCTCCTCTAGAGCAGTGATGTTTTGGGGCTGTCGCTGGGCAACATGGACTTTCAACTCCCTCCAAAGATTTTCTATGGGGTTGAGATCTGGAGACTGGCTAGGCCACTCCAGGACCTTGAAATGCTTCTTACGAAGCCACTCCTTCGTTGCCCGGGCGGTGTGTTTGGGATCATTGTCATGCTGAAAGACCCAGCCACGATTCATCTTCAATGCCCTTGCTGATGGAAGGAGGTTTTCACACAAAATCTCACGATACATGGCCCCATTCATTCTTTCCTTTACACGGATCAGTCGTCCTGGTCCCTTTGCAGAAAAACAGCCCCAAAGCATGATGTTTCCACCCCCATGCTTCACAGTAGGTATGGTGTTCTTTGGATGCAACTCAGCATTCTTTGTCCTCCAAACATGACGAGTTGAGTTTTTACCAAAAAGTTATATTTTGATTTCATCTGACCAAATGACATTCTTCCAATCCTCTTCTGGATCATCCAAATGCACTCTAGCAAACTTCAGACGGGCCTGGACATGTACTGGCTTAAGCAGGGGGACACGTCTGGCACTGCAGGATTTGAGTCCCTGGCGGCGTAGTGTGTTACTGATGGTAGGCTTTGTTACTTTGGTCCCAGCTCTCTGCAGGTCATTCACTAGGTCCCCCCGTGTGGTTCTGGGATTTTTGCTCACCGTTCTTGTGATCATTTTGACCCCACGGGGTGAGATCTTGCGTGGACCCCCAGATCGAGGGAGATTATCAGTGGTCTTGTATGTCTTCCATTTCCTAATAATTGCTCCCACAGTTGATTTCTTCAAACCAAGCTTCTTACCTATTGCAGATTCAGTCTTCCCAGCCTGGTGCAGGTCTACAATTTTGTTTCTGGTGTCCTTTGACAGCTCTTTGGTCTTGGCCATAGTGGAGTTTGGAGTGTGACTGTTTGAGGTTGTGGACAGGTGTCTTTTATACTGATAACAAGTTCAAACAGGTACCATTAATACAGGTAACGAGTGGAGGACAGAGGAGCCTCTTAAAGAAGAAGTTACAGGTCTGTGAGAGCCAGAAATCTTGCTTGTTTGTAGGTGACCAAATACTTATTTTCCACCATAATTTGCAAATAAATTCATAAAAAATCCTACAATGTGATTTTCTGGAATTTTGTTTCTCAATTTGTCTGTCATAGTTGACGTGTACCTATGATGAAAATTACAGGCCTTTCTCGTCTTTTTAAGTGGGAGAACTTGCACAATTGGTGGCTGACTAAATACTTTTTTCCCCCACTGTAATATTAGTACGCTGATATATATTTTTGTCATGTACACTGTGTTTTTGTAAATTAGCGAAAACAACAAACCTAGGAATTGCTTTGTATTACACTGTTTGTTTGATTCTCTTTTTCGAGAGCATGTCCAAGACAGTTAGATAGTTTCCTCCTGTTTAGGAAACCCAGTGAGAGGCACGGTAAACAAGCTTTAAGGAACAAGCCACAATAGAACATAAAATGTTCTGGTTAGGCCCAGGAGGTGTTCCTTTGACCTTGTGACCTGACCAGGACAAACTGTTACCACATTCAGATATTCCTCCATATAAAACCTAATGAAGGTAATAAGGGGTATTCAACTACAGAGCCAAGATGTTATAACAACAGAGTTTTCCCTACATTTTTCTAAATAGGAATTTATCAATTCACCTGTCAATCAATCAATCAATCACTCTGTCAAAAAGCTGTCTCTCCTCTCCCGCAACTCTTCCCTAGGTTGTTGCTGTAAATGACAACATACTCATGCTCAGTTAACTTACCTGCTAAAATAAGTTTGGAATAAAACAGAATCACTCACTCTTGTCTATAATCATCTCCCTCCCCTCGTCTTCTCCCACAGTAAGGTGTTCTTCACAGACTACGGTCAGATCCCCAAGGTGGAGCGTTGTGACATGGATGGTCAGAACCGGACTAAGCTGGTGGACAGTAAGATTGTGTTCCCCCACGGTATCACCCTGGACCTGGTCAGCAGGCTGGTCTACTGGGCCGACGCCTACCTGGACTACATAGAGGTGGTGGACTACGAAGGCAAGAACAGACACACCATCATACAGGGGCTGCTGGTGAGGACACACACACACACACACACACATACATACATACATACATACATACATACATTACATTTTACATTTTAGTCATTTAGCAGATGCTCTTATCCAGAGCGAGTTACAGGAGCAATTAGGGTTAAGTGCCTTGCTCAAGGGCACATCGACAGATTTTTCACCTAGTCTGCTCGGGTATTAGAACCAGCGACCTTTCGGTTACTGGCACAACGCTCTTAACCACTAAGCTACCTGCCATACATACACACACACACACACACACGGACACACACGGACGGACACACAGACACACGGACGGACACACAGACACACGGACGGACACACAGACACACGGACAGACACACACACGGACGGACACACAGACACACGGACGAACACACAGACAGACGGACGAACACACAGACACACGGACGAACACACAGACAGACGGACGAACACACAGACAGACGGACGAACACACAGACAGACGGACGAACACACAGACAGACACAACAACAACAGAACGACGACACACACAGACAGACGGACGAACACACAACAACGGACGAACACAGCACAGACAAGACGGACGAACACACAGACAGACGACGACACACACAGACGCGACCACACGACACAGAAACCACATACAGACGGACAACAACAGACACAGACACACAGACAGACGACGACGAACACACAAAGAACGAACACACAGCACACACGGAACGAACACACCACGGACGAACAGACAGACAGGAACACACACGACGAGCAACGCACGACGGACGACAGACGGACGACGACACACTACGACACAGACGGGAACAGACGGACGAACAGACGGACAGACGAACGAACACACACACACAGACAGACAGACGAACAGACGAGAACACAGCGCCACACGACAGGACCACACTACACGAACACACAGACATGAACCACAACACACGAACACACGAACACACAGACAGACGAACACACGAACACACGAACACACAGACAGACGAACACACGAACACACAGACAGACGAACACACAACAGACACAACAACGAACACACACAACAACGAACACACACAGACAACAGACACACAACACACGAACACACAGACAGACGAACACACAGACAGACGAACACACAACAGACACAACACAGACACACACACAACAGACACACGACACACACACAGACAAACGAACACACAACAACGAACACACAGACAACGAACGACACACAACACGACAACGAACACACAACACACAGAACACGAACACACACAACAACAACACAACGAACAACACCGAACACACACAACGACAACAACAACGAACACGACCACAGAACACGAAACAACACACAACGAAAACACAACACAACAACAACAACCACGAACACACGAACACACAACACAACAACAACACCTAAACACACAACCAAGACCACACAAAGAACACACAACACAACTAACACAACACACGACAACGACAAAACACACAACCACAGACGAACACGACAACAGAAACACACAACACCAACAACGAACACAACATAACAACGAAACACACGAACACACAGACAGACGAACACACGAACACACAGACAGACGAACACACACACACACGACACACACAACTAACACAACCGAACCAACACAACGAACACACAAGACAGACAACACACGAACACACACAACAGACAACGACAACACACGAACACCACAACAACACACAACCAACACACAACACACGAACACACACAACACAAACAAACACCACAAACACACAACACACAGACAACACACACGACACAAACACAGACACCAACAACGACACACAACACGAACACACCATAACACACGAACACACAACAACGAACACACAACAACACACGAACACCACAAACAAACACACGACACAGAACCACACACACAGAACACACACACAAAACCGACACAGACGACAACACACACACACACACACAGACAGACAACGAACACACAAACAACAAACACAACAGACAACCACACACAACACCAACGAACACACAGACACGAACAACACACACAGAACAGACGAACACACAGACAGACGAACACACAACACAGACACACACACACAAACAACAACACGAACACACACAACCAAGACAAACACACAACAGACAGACAACACACAGAACAACACGAAACAACACAACAGACAAACCACACACACAACCACACACGAACACACAACGAACACACAAACAATACAGAAACACAAACGAACAACAACAGTAACACACAACACACAGACAACACAAAACACACAACAACGACACAAACCACGCAACACACAGACAACTAACACACAACCAAGCAAACAGACAAACAAAAACACATAACAAACACCACAACCCACAGACTAACACACAACAACGAACACAAAACGAACACACGAACCAACAACACACACACAACTACACAAACACACACGAACACAACAACCAACACACACACAACAGACAACACACACAAACGACAACCACAAACGAACACACACGAAACCAACAACAACAACACAACATACAACACACTACAACACAGACAACACACATGACACAAAACACACAGAAAACACAAACACAAAACACACATACACACAACACAGACAACTAACACACACGAACAACACACACAACTAACACGCAACAACTAACAACGAACCATACAATAACACAAGACACAAACACACACAACACAACAACTAACACACTAACACACAAAACGAACACAAACACAACAACAACACAAACAACAACAACAACACAAATAACAACTAAACGACACATACAACACACACAGACTAACACACAGACGACAACCAAACACAACAGACCAACAACACACAAATACTAACACACAACAACAGACATAACACACAACAAACATAACATACACACACACACAACAACACACAACAAACACACAGACACGAACACACAACACACAGACACAACACACAACAACAACACACAACACAACAACACAGCAACATACAACCAACAACTAAACAGCACACCACACACAACAACCCACACACACACAACACACTAAACACACTAACACACGAACACACAACCACACAACGACGAACACAACACACTAACACACAGACCAACACACCACTAAAACACCACACAGACAACACACAACAACACACACAGACAGACACACACACAACAACTAGACAACCACAGACACACACAAACAACAAACAACAAAGAACAACACAAACGAAAACCCAACAACACAGACATACAACACACAAACACACCACAACAACAACAACAAAAACAACACACAACAACACACATAACACACAACACACAAACGACACTAAGACTAACACAACGATAACACACATCAACATACAACGAACACAACAACAACAACACCACAGACACAATAACACACAGACAAAACAACACAACAACAAGACCACATACGACGAACAACATAAACAACAAACAATCAAACAACAAAAACAGACACCTACACCCCACACACGACTAACACTCCAGAACCAAGACACACAAGCTAGACACTAAAGAACAGCACAACCCACACATACACACCAGACTAACCTCACACCAACCTACAAACAAGGACAAGGACCAAAACAACATAACAAACTAGAAATACACAAGCAGACACACACAAAAACAAACAAAAAAACAACCACAAAAAAAGCAAAACCAGAAACAAAACAACCTCACACCACACCGACCAACAGAACACGAGAAGACAAACAATAAACCAAAGAGACCATCGAACCACCCACAGCAACGTCTACCTCTAGACCACACTAGCGGAATCAAACTAAACAAGAAGAACATAACACACAAACACAAAGTATAGTCAAAATGACATACAGCCCTACAGAACGCCCAGCGAACGTAAAACCCACACAGACAAGAACACACACACACACAAGAACAGACACACTATCATTCAGGGCCTGCTGTTGAGCTCATCAACCCTTGACTGTCTGGAAGCTAGCACACTTCTTCAGGGTTCTGGAAGGGAGCAATTAAGAGGGTTTAACATTTTGGAATGTTGCAGATTGTTAATGTTGTGTAGAGCAGATGGACATCTCCATGTAGAGTAAAGTAAAATCAAATCAAATACAACAGGTGTAGACCTTACAGTGAAATGCTTACTTACAAGCCCTTAACCAACAATGCAGTTTTAAGAAAGAATACCAAAAAAAATCACACAAAAAAATAAAAAATAAAATAATACAAAATAAAAGTAACAAATAATTAAAGAGCAGCAGTAAAAATAACAATAGCGAGGCTATATACAGGGGGTACCGGTACCGAGTCAATGTGCGGGGATACCGGTTAGTCAAGGTAATATGTACATTTAGGTAGAGTTATTCAAGTGAATATGCATAGATAATAAACAGAGAGTAGGGGGCAATGCAAATAGTCTGGGTAGCCATTTGATTAGATGTTCAGGAGTAATAATAATAATAATAATAATAATAATATGCCATTTAGCAGACGCTTTTATCCAAAGCGACTTACAGTCATGCGTGCATACATTTTTGTGTATGGGTGGTCCCGGGGATCGAACCCACTACCTTGGCGTTACAAGCGCCGTGCTCTACCAGCTGAGCTACAGAGGACCAGGAGTCTTATGGCTTGGGGGTAGAAGCTGTTTAGAAGCCTCTTGGACCTAGACTTGGCGCTCCGGTACCGCTTGCTGTGCGGTACCAGAGAGAACAGTCTATGACTAGGGTGGCTGGAGTCTTTGACAATTTATAGGGCCTTCCTCTGACACCGCCTGGTATAGAGGTCCTGGATGGCAGGAAGCTTGGCCCCCGTGATGTACTGGGCCATACGCACTACCCTCTGTAGTGCCTTGCGGTCGGAGGCCGAGCAGTTACCATAACAGGCAGTGACGCAAACAATCAGGATGCTCTTGATGGTGCAGCTGTAGGACTTTTTGAGGATCTGAGGACCCATGCCAAATCTTTTCAGTCCTGGTAATCCGTCTGTTGTTGTGAATGTTGACCTGTTTAAAGGTCTTACTCACATCGGCTACAGCGAGCGTGATCACACAGTCGTCCGGAACAGCTGATGCTCTCATGCATGTTTCAGTGTTGCTTGCCTCGAAGCGAGCATAGAAGGAATTTAGCTCGTCTGGTAGGCTCGTGTCACTGGGCAGCTCGCGGCTGTGCTTCCCTTTGTAGTCTGTAATAGTTTGCAAGCCCTGCCACATCCGACGAGCATCGGAGCCGGTATAGTACGATTCGATCTTAGTCCTGTATTGACGCTTTGCCTGTTTGATGGTTCGTCGGAGGGCATAGCGGAATTTCTTATAAACGTCCAGGTTGGAGTCCCGCTCCTTGAAAGCGGCAGCTCTACCCTTTAGCTCAGTGCGGATGTTGCCTGTAATCCATGGCTTCTGGTTGGGGTATGTATGTACAGTCACTGTGGGGACGACGTCATATGCACTTATTGATGAAGCCAGTGATTGATGTGGTGTACTCCTCAATGCCATCGGAAGAATCCCAGAACATATTCCAGTCTGTGCTATGAAAAACAGTCCTGTAGCTTAGCATCTGCTTCATTTGACCACTTTTTTTATTGACAGAGTCACTGGTGCTTCCTGCTTTAGTCTTTTGCTTGTAAGCAGGAATCAGGAGGATATAATTATGGTCATATTTGCCAAATGGAGGGAGAGTTTTGTACGCATCTCTATGTGTGGAGTAAAGGTGGTCTAGAGTTTTTTCCCCCTCCGGTTGCACATTTAACATGCTGATAGAAATGAGGCAAAACGGATGTACATTTCCCTGCATTAAAGTCCCCAGCAACTAGGAGCGCCGCCTCTGGATGAGCGTTTTCCTGTTTGCTTATGGCCGTATACAGTTAATTGAGTGCAGTCTTAGTGCCAGCATCGGTTTGTGGTGGTAAATAGACAGCTACGAAGAATATAGATTAAAACTCTCTTGGAGGTCCTCTGTAGCTCAATTGGTAGAGCATGGCGCTTGTAACGCCAGGGTAGTGGGTTCGATCCCCGGTACCACCCATACGTAAAAATGTATGCACACATGACTGTAAGTCGCTTTGGATAAAAGCGTCGGCGAAATGGCATATTATAGATAGTGTGGTCTACAGCTTATCATGAGATACTCTACTTCAGGCGCGCAAAACCTTGAGACTTCCTAAGATATCGTGCACCAGCTGTTGTTTACAAATATACATAGACCGCCACCCCTTGTCTTACCAGAGGCTGCTGTTCTATCCTGCCGATACAGTGTATAACCCGCCAGCTGTATGTTATTCATGTCTTCGTTCAGCCACGACTCGGTGAAACATAAGATATTCTAGTTTTGAATGTCCCGTTGGTAGGATATACGTGCCTGTAGTTCGTCCACTTTATTATCCAGTGACTGTAAGTTGGCCAATAGTATCAATGGCAAAGGCAGATTAGCCACTCATCGCCGGCTCCTTATCAGTCACCCCGATCTCCTTTTCTTTCTACTGCGAATGACGGGGATGAGGGCCCTGTCGGTTGTCTGGAGCAAATCACTCTCACCGGACTCATTAAGGAGCTGTAAACTTTACATTCATAGTTATCCAAACAGTTCAATCTTAAATGCAAGGTAAATACTTGGAACTAAATGCCCCCCTTTTTGTCTGTAAACCTATGTAGAGATTCCTGTGTTTTCTCTCCTGTGAGGATCCTTTCTCCCCTGCTGTTGTAGTAGTTTGTAGACCAGTGAGCTATGGCCAGAGAGCAGGGGGTGGACAGTAGCCTTTTCATTAGAGTGCTGATTAATAGGAGTTTAGGCTGAGCTCTGGTCAGTGTAGTGGCTGGCATGGCCAAGCGCCTTTTAAACCTGTTAGCAGGGCTTTTAGCGCTAGCTGTCTCTGTCTGCATAAGTAATAGCCTTCATTTACTCACTGGGCCTGGGGGCATAGACATGTACACACACACACACAAAGCCCCTTCATTTGTCTATGGGGGTCTGTGTGTCTGTGTGTGTGTGTGTGCCAGATAGCCATCAGTAGCAGTTTAAAGTCCATGGATGGTTATTGATGGTGAGGGTATGGGCTGTATTGCAGAGAGTATGAGTGTTTATCCCTGCCCTGCCTGATCACTGATAGGCCGCCTACGTCTATGTGACGTTAGTGCTGTTTACTGGGACATTAAGCCTGGCTTTCTTCTCACAGATGAATGTGTGTTTGTTTAGGCCTGTTAGAGTGCATTAAGTAAAATGGAGCCCTGTGTCATGCAAAAGGTCATGTTTAGATTTCTGAAGCGGCTTTGTGGTTGGGTTCATCATACTGAGTGAATGGGAATGTTGCATTGATTGTGATTTTATTTCGGGTTTTGCGTCACTCATTCTCCTCCCTCTTTTTCTCTTCTCTTCCCTCCCTTATTCTCTCTCTCTCTCTCTCTCTCTCTCTCTCTCTCTCTCTCTCTCTCTCTCTCTCTCTGTCTCTCTCTCTCTGTGTGTGTGTGTCAGATTGAGCACCTGTATGGTCTGACAGTGTTTGAGAACTACCTGTATGCCACTAATTCGGACAACGCCAACATGCAGCCGAAGACCAGTGTGATCAGAGTGAACCGCTTCAACAGCTCTGACTACCAGGTGGTGACCCGCGTCGACAAGGGAGGAGCCCTGCACGTCTACCACCAGAGACGCCAGCCCCCAGGTAACTGTTGTAATAGGTTTCTGTATTTTATGCTGGGCATTTTGTCAAATCAGTTCTATATTGAACCCACAGACATAGTGGTATAGTTGAAATTCAGTTGAATACTAAGACATGTCCTCCTCTCCTATCGTCCAGTGCGTAGCCATGCGTGTGAGCCAGACCAGTTTGGGAAGGCAGGAGGCTGCTCTGATATTTGTCTGCTGGGGAACAGCCATAAGACCCGCACCTGCCGCTGTCGCTCCGGCTTCAGCCTGGGGAGTGACGGAAAGTCCTGCAAGAGTAAGTACCACACAGCCAATCTCCTCTCAGATACTCCACAGCACAGCCAATCTCCTCTCAGATACTCCACTGCACAGCCAATCTCCTCTCAGATACTCCACAGCACAGCCAATCTCCTCTCAGATACTCCACAGCACAGCCAATCTCCTCTCAGCTACTCCACAGCACAGCCAATCTCCTCTCAGATACTCCACAGCACAGCCAATTATCTGTTAGGCACTTTTACAACCCAAGCCAATCCGCTTTAAGATGCTTAATTATATCTGCTCTGAGATACAACAACACAGCCAACCCATTCCTACATACTATAGTCTACAGCACAGCCAATGCGCTTCCAGATACTTTCAAAAGTTGATATCACAGCCAATCCACTTTCAGCTCCTCCAATCAGCTCCTTCACAACTCTAGCTATCCACTCCTCCTCTGTGGCGGTCTCTTTGGGCAGCTTAATCTCCTCATGTCTGAGCAGTAGAAATCCTCTGACTCACCTGACATTGACAGCCAACCTCCCTAATCAATGTCTACATGCCTGAAGCCCCACTGTAACTTTAAACCAGAGGCAGAGATTGATTCTGTTATTGAACCTGTGCCAAGGTCAGTGAAGGTTGAATCAGGAAAACTGCATGCCCCTAAACTAAGGTCTGGGACACCCCTAATGAGCATGTATTAACCAGGCTCTTCTCGAATTGACTACTTTTGTCTGCTGCGTAACGTAAATTACAACCCCATCCCTGATTGATTCACTTTGCCTGCGAGGTGTGTATTAATATTCTATGAGGATATGAAAGCAAGCACGTATTGATCTGTTTCTAGACTATAACCCTAGGTGCCCTTGATAACCACACCACGGTAGATTGATTCAACAAAAGCCTATCCCGTCCACTATGCCATACGGAACACCCACTTATCAATTTGACAAGTCGTCAAAATGTTAATTTTAATGATTGAAAATCACTTACATTCTCATTAGGTTTATGGGATTATGCTGCTCTTGCACAGTTTTTGTCTGTTTAATCAATGCACATTTTATGGGGCAGTGTTATTTACTTACGTGTCAGCATTTCAATTGGTAATTATTTTCGGAGAAGAAATTGGTCGCAAGATTTAAGAAAGCCGGGAATATTGGAAGGGATTGGAATCCTGTGGATCTTATTAAACAACAAAGGCCTCACCAATGCTCTCCTCCTCCTGGTCCCATGTTGTCTGTCTGTCATAGCATTGTAGTGTGATTTTGTAATCTTTTTTAGAAGCTACCTCTCATGAGGTTGGCCAGACTCGTTAGAGAGAAGCTGACAAGATGATATGCATTTATAATAAGTTTACAGTCAAAAGCCCCTATTCATAAAGCATGTCAAAGTGCTGATCTAAGATCAGTTTTTGTCTTTTAGATCATAATGAATAAGATTACATGGACAGGGGGAGGGAGGATCCTAGATCAGCATTCTTACTCTGAGATGATTTATGAATACAGGCCCAGTAAGTCCTCTTTCTCTCCCATGCTGTTCCTCAGAGCCGGAGCATGAGCTGTTTCTGGTGTACGGTAAAGGTCGCCCAGGGGTCATCAGAGGGATGGACATGAATGCTAAGGTCCCAGACGAGTACATGATCCCTATAGAGAACCTGATGAACCCCAGAGCCCTTGACTTCCACTCAGAGAGTGACTTCATATATTTTGCCGACGCCACCAGCTACCTCATCGGCCGCCAGAAGATCGACGGTACAGAAAGGGACACCATTCTGAAGGAAGGTACGGTAACTGCACTCCATGTTGGCCATTTTCGGGAATCATTACTGTAATAGGGAGTAGCCATTTAGGCTCCAAAACAATGCTAGCACCTTGTCAGGTGCTGTTGTGAGGGTAGATGTGGTCATTTTAGCTCAGTTTGTCCAGTTTTGTTGTGTATAATAGGGCGACTGGCCTCTCACCACCAGTTCCTCTGTGTTCCAGGGATCCACACAGTAGAGGGTATAGCGGTGGACTGGATGGCTGATAACCTGTACTGGACGGACGATGGGCCCAAGAAGACCATCAGTGTGGCCAGGCTGGAGAAGGCCTCCCAGACTCGCAAGACTCTCATCGACGGCAAGATGACCCACCCCCGCGCCATCGTAGTGGACCCCCTACATGGGTAAGAGACTGAGAGAGGGAGGGATGGTGGGAGAGAGATGAAAGGAAGATAAGGGTTTCAGATTGGTCTTTAGACTGTTAAGAAGCAACTTTAAAGTTTGGTGTGGGTTGGATGTGTGGGAGAGGTTAGGTAAAAGTTGTTTTGTGTGAGGCGGTAGATTTTAATGTGATTCAGAATGTGTTTGTGTGTGGTGGGAGTATTCAATTCGCTTCTTAATAGATTATTTTGATATTCTAATGAGCCTCTCCCATGTGTGTGTGATGTGGCTGGGAGATGATTGGAAAGTTGACCCTGGGGGGTGTGGGTTAGTGTGTGTGTGTGTGTGTGTGTGTTGGTGTTTAGAGTACGTGCATACAAAATGTACATGCACATGTGTACAAGTGTGTGGGTCAGAAAAGAGCAGATGGTCATCTGTCGATAATAGCCTCCTGTCACTGAGCCCCCACTGTCCCCTCATGGCCCTTCAAAACAATTCTACCCCTCTCAACCCTCTCGTGTGTGCACACATAATATAATTAAGCAATAAGGCATATACCACAAACCCCCGAGGTGCCTTATTGCTATTATAAACTGGTTACCAATGTAATTAGACCGGTAAATATTTTGTTTTTGTCATACCCGTGGTATATGGTCTGAACAAATCACATTTTATTTTTCACATGGCCGAATACAACAGGTGTAGACCTTACAGTTAAATGCTTACTTACAAGCCCTTAACCAACAATGCAGTTTTAAAGAAAAATAAATGTTAAGTATAAAATTGCTAAGTAAAAAATAATTAAAGAGCAGCAGTAAAATAACAGTAGCGAGGCTATATACAGGGGGTACCGGTACAGAGTCAATGTGCGGGGGCACAGGTTAGTCGAGGTAATTGAGGTAATATGTACATGCAGGTAGAGTTAAAGTGACTATGCATAGATAATAAACAGAGAGTAGCAGCAGCGTAAAAGAGGGGGTGGGGGGGACCAATGCAAATAGTCCGGGTAGCCATTTGATTAGCTGTTCAGGAGTCTTATGGCTTGGGGGTAGAAGCTGTTAAGAAGCCTTTTGGACCTAGACTTGGCGCTCCGGTACCGCTTGACGTACGGTAGCAGAGAGAACAGTCTACTAGGGTGGCTGGAGTCTTTGACAATTCTTAGGGCCTTCCTCTGACACCACCTGGTATAGTGGTCCTGGATGGCAGGAAGCTTGGCCCCAGTGATGTACTGGGCCATACGCACTACCCTCTGTAGTGCCTTGCGCTCGGAGGCCGAGTAGGTGCCATACCAGGCAGTGATGCAACAAGTCAGGATGCTCTCGATGGTGCAACTGTAGAACTTTTTGAGGATCTGAGGACCCATGCCAAATCATTTCAGTCTCCTGAGGGGTATAGGCTTTGTCGTGCCCTCTTTACGACTAATTTGGTGTGTTTGGACCATGATAGTTTGTTGGTGATGTGGACACCAAGGAACTTGAAGCTCTCAACCTGCTCCACTACAGCCCCGTCGATGAGAATGGGGGGTGTGCTCGGTCCTCTTCTTTTTCCTGTAGTCCACAATCATCTCTTTTGTCTTGATCACGTTGAGGGAGAGGTTGTTATCCTGGCACCACACGGCCAGATCTCTGACCTCCTCCCTATAGGCTGTCTCATCGTTGTCGGTGATCAGGCCTACCACTGTTGTGTCGTCAGCAAACTTAATGATGGTGTTGGAGTCGTGCCTGGCCATGCAGTCATGGGTTAACAGGGAGTACAGGAGGGGACTGAGCACGCACCCCTGAGGGCCCCCTGTGTTGAGGATCAGTGTGGCAGATGTGTTGTTACCTACCCTTACCACCTGGGGGTGGCCCGTCAGGAAGTCTAGGATCCAGTTGCAGAGGGAGGTGTTTAGTCCCAGGGTCCTTAGCTTAGTGATGAGCTTTGAGGGCACTATGGTGTTGAACGCTGAGCTGTAGTCAATGAATAGCATTCTCACACAGGTGTTCCTTTTGTCCAGGTGGGAAAGGGCAGTGTGGAGTGCAATAGAGATTACATCATCTGTGGATCTGTTGGGGCGGTATGCAAATTGGAGTGGGTCTAGGGTTTCTGGGATAATGGTGTTGCTGTGAGCCATGACCAGCCTTTCAAAGCACTTCATGGCTACAGACGTGAGTGCTACGGGTCGGTAGTCATTTAGGCAGGTTACCTTAGTGTTCTTGGGCACAGGGACTATGGTGGTCTGCTTGAAACATGTTGGTATTACAGACTCAGTCAGGGACAGGTTGAAAATGTCAGTGAAGACACTTGCCAGTTGGTCAGCGCATGCTCGGAGTACACATCCTGGTAATCTGTCTGGCCTTGCGGGCTTGTGAATGTTGACATGTTTAAAGGACTTACTCACATCGTCTACGGAGAGCGTGATCACACAGTCGTCCGGAACAGCTAATGCTCTCATGCATGCTTCAGTGTTGCTTTCCTCGAAGCGAGCATATAAGTAATTTAGCTCGTCTGGTAGGCTCGTGTCACTGGGCAGCTTGCCTTTTGTAGTCTGTAATAGTTTGCAAGCCCTGCCACATCCAACGAGCGTCGGAGCCGGTGTAGTACGATTCAATCTTAGTCCTGTATTGACGCTTTGCCAGTTTGATGGTTCGTCGGAGGGCATAGCGTGATTTCTTATAAACGTCCGGGTTAGTCCCGTTCCTTGGAAGCGGCAGCTCTACCTTTTTAGCTCAGTGCGGATGTTGCCTGTAATCCATGGCTTCTGGTTGTGGTATGTACGTACAGTCACTGTGGGGACGACGTCATTAATGCACTTATTGATGAAGCCAGTGACTGATGTGATGTACTCCTCAATGCCATCGGAAGAATCCCAGAACATATTTCGGTCTGTGCTAACAAAACAGTCCTGTAGCTTAGCATTTGCGTCATCTAACCACTTCTTTATTGACAGAGTGACTTGTGCTTCCTGCTTTAGTTTTTGCTTTTAAGCAGGAATCAGGAGGATAGAGTTATGGTCAGATTTGCCAAAATAATTGCGAGGGAGAGCTTTGTATGCGTCTCTGTGTGTGGAGTAATGGTGGTCTAGAGTTTTTTTTCCCTCTGGTTGCACATTTAATATGCTGGTAGAAATTAGGTAAAACAGATTTAAGTTTCCCTGCATTAAAGTCCCCGGGCACTAGGAGCGCTGCCTCTGGATGAGCGTTTTCCTGTGTGCTTATGGCCTTATACAGCTCATTGAGTGCGGTCTTAGTGCCAGCATCGGTTTGTGGTGGTAAATAGACAGCTACTAATTAGTCTACAGCTTATCATGAGATACTCTACCACAGGCGAGCAAAACTTTGAGACACTAACTGTAAGTCTCTCTGGATAAGAGCGTCTGCTAAAATGACTAAAATGTAAAAATGTGCATCAGCTGTTGTTTACAAATATACACAGACCGCCACCCCTTGTCTTTCCGGAGGCAGCTGTTCTGTCTTGCCGATGCAGTGTATATCATGCCAGCTGTATGTTCTCCATGTCGTCGTTCAGCCACGACTCGTGAAACATAAGATATTATAGTTTTTAATGTCCCGTTGGTAGGATATCCGTGATCTTAGTTAATCTATTTTGTTATCCACGGCTTTCAGCCAATCAGCATCCAGGAGCCAAACTACCTGGTTTATAATATAATATGACATTTAGCAGATGCTTTTATCCAAAGCGACTTAGTCATGCGTGCATACATTTACTTATGGGTGATCCCGGGAATCGAATACACTACCTGGAGTTGCAAGCGCAATGCTCCACCAACTGAGCTACAATGGACTGGGCACCTCGGGTGCTCGCTCAAATCGGTCTTAATCTGTGTGTGACTCTTCATGTTGATGTAACCTACTCTGGCCCGCTCCCTAGAGCAACACACACACACACATTAGATTGGCCGTGACAGAGAGACGTGCATCCACACACTCTCCTGGAGTAGCACTCACCTCCACTAAGTCCTGTAATCAATCAGCTAGCCATTGAGGGAGAGAGAGAGAAAGATACATAGGGAGAAGGGGGGAGAGAGAGAGAGAGAGAGAGAGAGAGAGAGAGAGAGAGAGACAAGGAGATGAGAGTGAGATGGATTGAACCCGAGGGAGAAGTAGGGTGAAAGAGGGGGAAGGAGATGTAAAGATGAGAGGTAGAGACAGGTAGAGGGAATGAGTCTAAAAGGGGAAAGCGAGAGAGGGAGGGAGAAATTGATTGAGTCAGACTGTCACTCATACTACAGTGTGATGAGGAGAGGTGGGCTGGTGTTAAATAGTTGTTTAACAGACGATATTGGACTTGGTCATAGTGGTGGCTGGCTGGCTGGTTCGATAGTCCTGTGGTGTCCATCTATCAGGGGCCTTGACAGACAGCTCCAATCTGGAGAGAATGTCATTAGTCCGTATATTCACAGCCAGACTAGGAGACCCTTCACTGTGGGGGTGGAGGGGGGTGGTTAAGAGACGTCATTATAGAATGCTACTCGATCAGATGTCAGCTGGGGCAGAATTGTCCAGTCACAACGGACCAAAACACTCACACAGACATATGCTCACCCACCCCTCCTCTCTCTCTTCCCAGGTGGATGTACTGGACAGACTGGGAGGAAGACCCTAAGGAGAGTAAAAGAGGGAAGATTGAGCGGGCCTGGATGGATGGTTCTAACAGGAATGTGTTCCTGACCAGTAAGACAGTCCTGTGGCCCAACGGTCTGAGTCTGGACATCCCACAGGGCATTCTGTACTGGGTGGATGCATACTATGACCGCATCGAGATGGTCTACATTAACAACACTGAACGCAAGGTCAGTCAGACTGGTTACTAGCGCTAAACCTAACCCCAACCCTAACCCTACTATGACTACATAGAGATAGTCTACCTCAACAACACTGACAATGCCTGAAGTTGTCCAATGAGAAATTATTGTTTTTGTTGCAAAAGGATTTGTTACGGTGTGCACTAATGAATATGACCTTGTGTTGTGCTGTCAGACGGTATACGAGGGTCAGGAGTTGAACCACGCCTTCGGCCTGTGTCACTACAAACACTTCCTGTTCTGGAACGAGTACCGCAGCGGCAGCATCTACAAACTGGACCAGGTCACCAGGACCGTCACCCTGCTCCGCAACGAACGGCCGCCCATCTTCGAGATCCGCATGTATGACGCCCAGCAGCAGCAAGGTACAGGACACTACACTCTGTCCATCCAGCCACAACTCCCTCAATCTATCTATATATCCAATCATTCATCCATCCATCCCCCCCTATTCATCGCTTTTTTTTATCGCTATCTTTCTCATATCAGATGACAGATCTGCAGCTAGGTCTAAATTGTAACTTGAGATATAATGCATTGGGAGAAAATTATGTGCACGTACAGTGCATTCGGAAAGTATTCAGACTTTTTCCACATTTTGTTACATTACAGCCTTATTCTAAAATTGATTAAATATGTTTGTTTTTTCATCAATCTACACACACTACCCAATAATGACGAAGCAAAGAGGTTTTTAGATTTTTTGGCAAATGTATAATAAATAAAAACACAGAAATATCTTATTTACATAAGTTCAGACCCTTTGCTATGAAACTCGAAATTGAGCTCAGGTGCATCCTGTTTCCATTGATCCTACTTGAGATGTATCTACAACTGGAGTCCACCTGTGGTAAATTAAATTGATTGGACATTATTTGGAAAGGCACACACCTGCCTATATAAGGTCCCACAGTTGCATGTCAGAGCAAAAACCAAGCCATGAGGTCGAAGGAATTGTCCGTAGAGCTCCGAGACAGGATTGTGTCGAGGCACAGATCTGGGGAAGGGTACCAAAAAATGTCTGCAGCATTGAAGGTCCCCAAGAACACAGTGGCCTCCATCATTCTTAAATGGAAGAAGTTTGTAACCAGCAAGACTTCCTAGAGCTGGCCGCCCAGCCAAACTGAGCAATCGAGAGAGAAGGGCCTTGGTCAGGGAGGTGACCAAGAACCCGATGGTCACTCTGACAGAGCTCCAGAGTTCCTCTGTGGAGATTGGAGAACCTTCCAGAAGGACAACCATCTCTGTAGCACTCCACCAATCAGACCTTTATGGTAGAGTGGCCAGACGGAAGCCACTCCTCAGTAAAAGGCACATGACAGCCTGCTTGGAGTTTGCCAAAAGGCAACTAAAGACTCTTAGACCATGAGAAACAAGACTCTCTGGTCTGATGAAACCAAGATTGAACTCTTAGGCCTGAATGCCAAGTTTCACGTCTGGAAGAAACCTGGCACCATCCCTACGGTGAAGCATGGTGGTGGCAGCATCATGCTGTAGGGATGTTTTTCAGCGGCAGGGACTGGGAGACTAGTCAGGATTGAGCATAGTACAGAGAGATCCTTGATGAAAACCTGCTCAGGACCTCAGACTGGGGGGAAGGTTCACCTTCCAACAGGACGATGACCCTAAGCACACAGCCAAGACAACGCAGGAGTGGCTTCGGGACAAGTCTCTGAATGTTCTTGAGTGGCCCAGCCAGAGCCCGGACTTAAACCCGACATCTCTGGAGAGACCTGAAAATAGCTGTGCAGCAACGATCTCCATCCAACCTGACAGAGCTTGAGAGGATCTGCAGAGAAGAATGGGAGAAACTCCCCAAATACAGTTGTGCCAAGATTGTAGTGTCATACCCAAGAAGTCTTGAGGCTGTAATCGCTGCGAAAGGTGCTTCAACAAAGTACTGAGTAAAGGGTCTGAATACTTATGTAAATGTGATATTTCAGTTTTTTCTTTTTACTCATTTGCAAAAATGTCTAAACCTGTTTTTTCTTTGTCATTATGGTTTATTGTGTGTAGATTGATGGAAAAAAATGATTTAACAATTTTAGAATAAGGCTGTAATGTAACAAAATGTGGAAAAAGTAAAGGGGTCTGAATACGTTTCGAATGCACTGTATCTCCGATACACATTCATTGCATGCACAAACCCTTATGTTCAGACACTAATCTGTATGTGTTTATAATCCCTCTCTCTCTGTCTCTCTCTGTCTCTCTCTGTGTCTCTCTCTGTGTCTCTCTCTCTCTCTGTGTCTCTCTCTCTCTCTCTCTCTCTGTGTCTCTCTCTCTCTCTGTGTCTCTCTCTCTCTGTCTCTCTCTCTCTGTGTCTCTCTGTCTCTCTCTCTCTGTGTCTCTCTGTCTCTCTCTCTCTGTGTCTCTCTGTCTCTCTCTCTCTGTGTCTCTCTCTCTCTCTGTGTCTCTCTCTCTATGTGTCTCTCTCTCTCTGTGTCTCTCTCTCTCTGTGTCTCTCTCTCTCTGTGTCTCTCTCTCTCTCTCTCTCTCTCTCTCTCTCTCTCTCTCTCTCTCTCTCTCTCTCTCACTCTCTGTCTCTGTGTGTGTGTGCAGGTTCTAATGCGTGTCGTGTGAATAACGGGGGCTGCAGTAGTCTGTGTCTGGCCATCCCTGATGGGAGACAGTGTGCCTGTGCAGAGGACCAGCTACTAGATGACAAAGACAACACCAGCTGTAAAGGTGAGAGGTCAGGAGTCATGAAGCAAGGGCCACCTATAGGAGAGCAGGCATTTACGCTCAATACAAAACTCCACAATGTGTGTGTGTGCGCGTGTGTGAGAACTCATGTGGAAGGGAATTTTATCACATGCTACCGACATCAGGGTTTATAAAGATTAGTTTAGAATAAAACTGTATTTCAAAGTTGAACTGTCAAAGTGTGTGTGTGTCTGTGTGAGAGAGGAAGAGAGAACAAATGTGTGTGTATAGTATGCAAATAGAAATCCCTCTCACGCATGGAGCAGTCAGTCCAGATTTTGGGGGTGTGGAGGGGGGTGGGATTAGGGGCTGACAGTAGGCTTGACGCGCGCACACACACTGGGCTCATGTTGACTCACTGCTCTGACAGGGTTTGTATTTGTTGTGGACTGCTGATGTGACAGTGTATTAGCTAGTATCTCACTGTCCCGCTCCACTCATTTAACTTTGTAGGTGAAATGTGTTATTTAAACGCTCAACTTCTCTCTCTTTCCATGTCTATCTCGTCCTCTGTCCCGCTCTCCCCCCTCTCCCTCCAGTCAACCCGTCCTACATCCCTCCTCCTCAGTGTCAGCCAGGGGAGTTTGCCTGTAAGAACAACCGCTGTATCCAGGAGCGATGGAAGTGTGACGGTGACAATGACTGTCTGGACAACAGCGACGAGGCCCCCGAGCTCTGCCGTGAGTACACACACACACACACACACACACACACACACACACACACACACACACACACACACACACACACAATGATTTTTAGAACCGCTACCTTTCCTTTGGTCTCTGTGCAGCTGGAGACAGATGGCCTTTCAGTATTTCAGTTTGACAGTCTGTTGATGCCAGAATGAATTGAGAAACGACAGACATTGTGTGTTTATGTGGAGTTTGTATTTGCACATGCCTGCGGGAGCGTGTGTGTGTGTGTGTGTGTGTGTTTATAAGAGTGTGCGTGCATGTGTGTGTGTGAAGGAATGTGGGAATGTTGGTGGGTCTGGAAAAGCTCTCTGTCTGTGGTCAGACTGCAGACAGCCTCCATTAGACTAGCCAGAGTCTGTCTGTCTGTGCCCTCTTACACTCTGTACCTCTGCTCTCCCCCTTCTATCCTTTCTTCTTCAATCCATCCATCCCTCCTTTTCAATCCCCTACCTCCATCATTCCTTCTCTTTCCCTCCCTCTCTAACTCCATCCCTCACTCCCTTCTCTTCCTCCATCCCTCCCGCTCTCCCCCTCCAGACCAGCACACCTGTCCGACTGACAGGTTTAAGTGTCAGAACAACCGCTGTATCCCTCTGCGCTGGCTGTGTGACGGAGACAACGACTGTGGCAATGACGAGGATGAGTCCAACACCACCTGTTCTGGTAGGACGAGGACACACACACTCACAGATGTGCACACACGTAACACACACTCGTACACATTCTTTTCTCTCTTTATTTTTCTGGTTTGCTCTCTCTGTGTCTCTCTCTTTCTCTCTCTCTCTCTCTCTCTCTCTCTCTCTCTCTGTCTCATACACATCATTCAGACAATGGTTGTTTAGGGCTGACCTTTCTCTCAGCTTAGTCCAGTGTACATGGACTGTATCCACACAATGCTCCAGAGATCCTCAAAATGCCATTAGTCATTTCCCATGAATCCAACTCCTGTTGTAAAATTTCAAAGGGCAATCTAATAACATCCTATTGGAGTCATTCTCCTGAGGAGAACTGTTTGGTAATCTCAATGCACCCCCCCTCCCCCCTCCCACTCCTACCGTTTCAGCTCGCACCTGCCCCCCCAACCAGTACTCGTGTGCCAGCGGTCGCTGTATCCCCATCTCCTGGACATGTGACCTGGACGATGACTGTGGGGACCGCTCTGACGAGCCTGCGTCATGTGGTAGATCACCTGCCTCACCTTTGACCCTTATGTTTCTCTTATGCTATAACACACAGAAAATGAATCTTCCTCAGAAAAGACTAAACATAATACCCATATCACTGAAACCCAGGCTCATAGGGCGGCCGGGAACTATCACGGTTATAGCTATTAAAGTCGTAAGTTACTGTTGGGTTTTTTCTTATGACACTAAGCACTCTGTCTTCCATTCTCTCTCTCTGTCCAGCCTACCCCACCTGTTTCCCTCTCACCCAGTTCACCTGCAATAACGGACGCTGCATCAACATCAACTGGCGCTGTGACAATGGTGAGTGTCTCTCCTTCCTCTTCCTCCTACCGTGTGTGTACCTCTAGTCATAGGCAGCTTTATCACTGACTCGTTGCTACGCATGTCATTTGATGTCCACAGGTCTTTCTTACTACAGCTTTCCTCTCTCTATTTGGCAAGGATGTTAGTGTGTCTGTTTCTTCTCCATTGTCATTGGCTCGTTGTGTTTGTTGTTGTTCCATGCCTGTTTTTGTTGTGCTGTCCGCCCACTCCGCTGTCTCCGTTGGTTTCTTTGTTTCAGAAAAGGATTGTGGGGACGGCTCTGATGAGTTGAATTGTCCGAACCCGACCGGTTAGTGCATAGATCAACATGCATCATAGCCAGGGCTCGCTAGGGGGGCCAGAGGGGAGGGAGAGGGAGGGGCAGACCTGCTACTGTAGGGAGAACCAGGGCTGCTTTCCTTACTAACGGCAGCTTTACCCTTTAACAGTAGTTCATTATTAATCTCACTAGAACGATAATGGAGGCTCTTACTGCTTCTACTCACTCACTTAATGCAGGAGAAAGAGCTTTCCATTGTAATCGTAATGGAATGGACAAGAATCAAAGATAGAGAACATTGGTTGTTCGGGGTGGTGGGTTATTATCATTATTAAACAACAAAGTCCAATTGGACTCCACACTATCTGTAGTAGTGTACTTACTGTCTATATTTATCTGCCAGTGGACTCCATTAAGGTTTAGTTACCAGACAAACCTCCCTGTTAGAAGTGCTTAGATAAGGAAGTCAATGGGGAAGCATCTCCTCTGCTGCCAAGCTCAATGTATCAGTGCTGGGTACATCCACTCATGGTGCATGGTATGATCTATGCAGTTTCTGTGATTATTTTACTCTCTCTTCTCCTTTTCCTCACATTTCATTTACAAATTAATTTTACTATTAAGTGTTTTGTATGTGAGAATGCATTTTATGTTATGGAGAGTAATGGAAATTGCATTATGAACAATAGTTGTATAAAGGCTATTTACTTTGTGTTACAAACATTTTGTCTGAGTGAAGAGAGAACTGACATTGACATTGTTCTTCATAACTAATGTAAATGACCAGGTACATGAACAATAACCTGGGAGATCTGTTTTAGTCTTTCACTATAGTCAGTCTGTGTTGTGTGTATGAGCAGTGTGAGGTAGAGGTTTGACTGTGTTTGCCTTGCAGATAATGATTGTGGGGACAACAGTGATGAGGCAGGCTGCAGCCATTCCTGCTCCAGCGCCCAGTTCAAGTGTAACAGCGGCCGCTGCATCCCCGACTACTGGACCTGCGATGGAGACAACGACTGTGGAGACTACAGTGACGAGACTCACGCCAACTGCACCAATCAGGGTGAGTGTCTGCACTGTAGCCCACCAATCGCTGTCTGTGAGAGCGTAACCCACCAATCCTTGTATGAACTCCTTAACTCGCCAATCATTGTGAGTGTTGACTCCATGACCCACCAACCAGGGTGTGTCAGCTCCGTAACCCACCATTCGCTGTCTGTGAGTGTCAACTATGTAACGCACCAATCAGGTGCCCTATATCTTACTGTATGTGAGTGTCAGCTTCATAACCCCACCAACCATGAAAACATAATGCCATATTACTGTGTGCTATAGGCCACCCAAATGAAAGGGTTAGTCTACAACAGGCTGTGGGCTTCTAGATGCAATTACATCAAAACACTACTTTACCCCATCTCTCCCTCTAGTTTATAAACCTGCTAGTATCTCCTTCTAACATATAATTAAGACTTGGGGAAACAAACTCACTATTTATACTCTAAACACTGTATCTGATTATGTCCTGTGTTGTGTTGTTTAGTTGGTAGAGAATTCTAGAAGGCCTCACCTGAAATTAAGCTTTCCTGTTGTCAACTCCAAACCACTTTATTACATTTGTTGCGTAGGATCTGAAACAAAAGAAACAAAGTCTTAGACGAGAAACAGACAAGTTAAATATTATAGACTATCAGGGGAAGTTTGGATAAACATATCTTTATCTGCCACTTACACTGTGGCCTGTAACCAGAGAACTAGGAACCCAGCCAGCCCGCTTCTCCCCCCCATGTGGTGCTGGCTAATGGGCTGGTCCGGGTTTGGCTCCCCCCGCGGGACACAGGGAGTGGGAGAAGCGGAATCCTGAGGTTTTAATGGAGGGCAGGCAGATCACACAGGTCTTTTACACACATACACGCACGTGCGCACAAGCTCACACGCATACACACCTGCACAATGAAACCTAACACATTATTACACAGACTTAGTCTCATGCTCTTTCACACTCGCACAGCCATTTTGGAGCACACTATTTCCATTTATCAAAAATAAACCTACACTTTGGCGTGACACGTGAAACTTGTGAATACACACACACTGCTGTGACAGCCATTGACCGTTGATGTCAGTCTTTCAATGAATTCCGTAATCACCGATGCCATTGATGGTTTTATTGGTCATCCACTGGAGCATGGCCTCTGCGTGAAAGCTGTACCCTTCAGTGCTCTGCATCACCCTGGCATTGTGGCACTGCCAACCCTTGACTCGTCGGCGTCTTTGGGTCATTGATTTCCATTCATTTAGCCATGACAGGTTGTTAGTGAATGTCAGCATTTTGTTAATGATGTGATTTGATGTATTGTGTGTGAATGAAGCACGTCATCTTTGTCTCATGGCATTGTCAAGCTTCTGCCCACTGTGAGTTCCACACACATGCCAACACCTTAGCCTACTTTTGCCATCTGGGTCTTTGTCTATGCCAGATGCCTGTTGGTTTTGCCAGTCCCTTTGATTATCCATTGAGTGAATAGTGGGTGAATTGTGTCCATCATTGAAGCATGATGTTCTGTTCAAACTGATACCCTGTGATAAAGAGTGTCCTTGTTTCCCATTGGAGCCCCACAGTGGGAGAAAGGAGAGGTAGTGAATGACGCTGTGAGAGATCTGTCCTAATGTGGTTGAACTGTGATTTTCTCACGATCGCCAGTTACTCAGTTACTCCAACTCGGCAAACTCTTACAAAATTATGAAAACAGATTAATTATATAAACTGCAGGGCCCTTAGATTTTCCTGACAATGTGACCTGACCAGAGAAAAGTTATAGCTTATAACAAGGGCCCAGAGTTTTACCTGGTCATTTCACATGGTCAGTAAAAACTCAGGGCCCTAAATATCTCTGATGTTTTAATACGTTTCCATTTCTGGAAATGTTTGTTTCAGTGTTATGGTAGTGATATAACTCTCTCTCTCGCGCTCTCCCGCACTCCCTCTCTTTCCCACTCTCTCCCTCTCTCTCCCGCACTCTCCCTCCCAAGCCACGCGTCCCCCTGGCGGCTGTCACACGGATGAGTTCCAGTGTCGTATGGACGGCCTGTGCATCCCTATGCGCTGGCGCTGCGATGGAGACACAGATTGCATGGACCTGAGCGATGAGAAGAACTGCGAAGGTGTCACACACATGTGTGACCCCGCCGTCAAGTTTGGTTGTAGAGACTCTGGTGAGGAGACTGGGGGAATGGGGATGGTTGTGTCACAGTAATAAGGATGAAATTAGGGGAGTTTAAATGAAAGGGGGAAAGAATGAATGAATTGGAGATTTGCCGGTTGAAAAACATAAATGTAACAGTATTGAAATGGATAGCGCAGGATTATCTGGTGGAGATGAAGGACTGCATTTGGTTTTAGCTGCATTTTTGTTATTGTGGACTGTATCTGCCTGTAACGTCAGACTTCTGAACTTTGCCCTCTGACCTATCCCTAGCCCGCTGTATCAGTAAGGCCTGGGTGTGTGACGGGGACAGTGACTGTGAGGACAACTCAGACGAGGACAACTGTGAGGCGTTGGTGTGTAAGCTCTCCCACCATGTGTGTGCCAACGACTCCACCATCTGTCTGCCTGCTGAGAAGCTTTGTGACGGCACTGACGACTGCCCTGACGGCTCTGACGAGAAACTCTGTGGTAAGACCTGCTGCTACTAAAGACTACATTACCCAGGATGCACTGGGAAGTAGGACAGGGATCCCACCGCTGACACCAACGGGCCAGAGTAAAACCTGGAATATTGCACAAGTTGAGCTGTTATGACTGTTTATGATACCTGTTATGTCATTATTATTACAATGTTGTTTATTCCGCATGAGAGAGAGCTCAAGAACAGTGTTGGCTCATTGTTCTTGTTCAGTGTCACCTCCTCCTGTAACACCCATCCCTATTTTTCCCATTTTCCCTGCAGACCTGTGCTCGCTGGATAACGGCGATTGCAGCCATAACTGTACGGTAGCCCCCGGTGAGGGCGTGGTGTGTTCCTGCCCCCTGGGCATGGAGCTGGGCTCCGACAACAAGACCTGTCAGATCCAGAGCTTCTGCGCCAAACACCTCAAGTGTAGCCAGCGCTGTGAGCAGGACAAGTTCAGTGTCAAGTGTTCCTGCTATGAGGGTTGGGAGCTGGAGGCTGATCAGGAGAACTGCAAGAGCACTGGTGAGGAGGGGGTGTTGGAGGAGATGTGGAGAGGGAGGGAGGGAGGAAAGGAGAGGGTGGTGGAAGGCTTTGAGAGAAAGAGGGAATGGAAGAGCAGGGGAGGTTAAAGGGTGGCAAACTGGGAAGGAGAGAAGTACATTTTAGTAATTTAGCAGACGCTCTTATCCAGAGCGACTTACAGTTAGTGAGTGCATACATTTTCATACTGGTCCCCCGTGGGGTATTCTTGTACATATGACTAATAAAACTTGACAAAAGGATATTCATGATCTGATTTCTGGGCATCAGTCAACAATGAAATAACATTGTAGAAAACGTAAATAAGTATTCAGCAACCGTAACAAAAGGAAACCAAATGTCCAACTTTGTAGTTCAGGTCACTCACTAGAGAGGGATATGGTCAGAAATTGTGGTTTGGAGTGAAATGGGAGAGAACAGAGGGAAGCTGTGAATTCAGGATTATGAGAATGAAAGACACTTGCACAGAGGATGAGGTGTTTCAACATGATGGATGTGGGGAGAGTCAAAGTGAAAGAGGGGATTGGGGTTTAGGATCTGCGAGGGGAGGAGGAAAAGGAAACTGTACAGTACATTTCCAGGAAGTGTTGTGGTTTTTGTTCAGGGGATAGAGAGAGCGAATGAGGTGAGTGAGTAGGAGAGAGAGGATGGGGTGTATTGGCAGGAAGCTGGGTGGTTTCAGTGGTCCCACCAAGCCAAACTGTGACTGGGAGCTGATACCACCGCTATGGACAAGAAACAAAGTGTGGGAGAGGAGGAAGGAGGCTAGAGGCGGTGTTCACATGAGGATGAGAAGAGAGCTGGAGGGAAGACTAGGGATTTAAGAACAGAAGGAGGACAGGCAGTTTCGAGAGGGAGAGAAGAAACTAGAAAAGGGGACATGAGAATAGTTGGGGGGCTTGTAGCTGTGAGAGTTGGATAGAGAGAAAGGGATTAGGAGATGAGTAGAGTAGAGTAGAAGACTAACAAGAAAGAAGAGGAGGTAGATTGAGGGAAGTTGGGGAACTTGTAGTTATGGGAAAAGTTGGCATTGAGGGGAAAAAGGAGGAGGGATAAATAGAACAAGAGGAAGGGGTAGGGAAAACTCATGGAAGAAGAACACTGTTACCCACATATATACTCAAGGCTGTATCCTCCTCATAGAATCTAGCCACTGACTCAAATAAAGCTGCATATAATTCAGCCCTGCACCCACAGCGACAGTCAGAGTTACACACAACACATCCATTCATCACACTGTCTGTCAGCTGGAGATAACTCTCCTCCATCCATTTAATACATACAGGCTTTTAATTACCAGGGATTAGACAGGGTTCCTAACTACAGTTGAAGTTGGAAGTTTACATACACCATAGCCAAATACATTTAAACTCAGTTTTTCACAATTCCTGACATTTAATCCTAGTAAATATTCCCTGTCTTAGGTCAGTTAGGATCACCACTTTATTTTAAGAATGTGAAATGTCAGAATAATAGTAGAGAGAATTATTTATTTCAGCTTTTATTTCTTTCATCACATTCCCAGTGGGTCAGAAGTTTACATACACTCAATTAGTATTTGGTAGCATTGCCTTTAAATTGTTTAACTTGGGTCAAACGTTTCGGGTAGCCTTACACAAGCTTCCCACAATAAGTTGGGTGAATTTTGGCCCATTCCTCCTGACAGAGCTGGTGTAACTGAGTCAGGTTTGTAGGCCTCCTTGCTCGCACACGCCTTTTCAGTTCTGCCCACACATTTTCTATAGGATTGAGGTCAGGGCTTTGTGAAGGCCACTCCAATACCTTGACTTTGTTGTCCTTAAGCTATTTTGCCACAACTTTGGAAGTATGCTTGGGGTCATTGTCCATTTGGAAGACCCATTTGCGACCAAGCTTTAACTTCCTGACTGATGTCTTGAGATGTTGCATCAATATATCCACATAATTTTCCTTCCTCATGATGCCATCTATTTTGTGAAGTGCACCAGTCCCTCCTGCAGCAAAGCACCCCCACAGCATGATGCTGCCACCCCCGTGCTTCACGGTTGGGATGGTGTTCTTCGGCTTGCAAGCAACCCCCTTTTTCCTCCAAACATAACGATGGTCATTATGGCCAAACAGTTCTATTTTTGTTTCATCAGACGTGAGGACATTTCTCCAAAAAGTAAGATCTTTGTCCCCATGTGCAGTTGCAAACCGTAGTTTGGCTTTTTTATGGCGGTTTTGGAGCAGTGGCTTCTTCCTTGCTGAGCGGCCTTCAGGTTATGTCGATATAGGACTCGTTTTACTGTGGATATAGATACTTTTGTACCTGTTTCCTCCAGCATCGTCACAAGGTCCTTTGCTGTTGTTCTGGGATTGATTTGCACTTTTCGCACCAAAGTACGTTCATCTCTAGGAGCCAGAACGCGTCTCCTTCCTGAGCGGTATGACAGCTGCGTGGTCCCATGGTGTTTATACTTGCATACTATTGTTTGTACAGATAAACTTAGTATCTTCAGGCGTTTGGAAATTGCTCCCAAGGATGAACCAGACTTGTGGAGGTCTACAATTCTTTTTCTGAGGTCTTGGCTGATTTATTTTGATTTTCGCATGATGTCAAGCAAAGAGGCACTGAGTTTGAAGGTAGGCCTTGAAATACATCCACAGGTACACCTCCAATTGACTCAAATGATGTCAATTAGCCTATCAGAAGCTTCTAAAGCCATGACATCAATGATATGAGAGACCATGTGAGGATATGATAGAGCCAAGTGACTTGGTGTATAGAGAGAATAGAGGGCCTAGAACTGAGCCCTGGGGGACACCAGTGGTGAGAGCACGTGGTGCGGAGACAGTTTCTCGCCACGCCACCTGGTAGGAGCGACCTGTCAGGTAGGACGCAATCCAAGAGTGAGCAGCGCCGGAGATGCCCAACTCGGAGAGGGTGGAGAGGAGGATCTGATGGTTCACAGTATCAACGGCAGCGGATAGGTCTAGAAGGATAAGAGCAGAGGAGAGAGAGTTAGATTTAGCAGTGCGGAGAGCCTCCGTGACACAGAGAAGAGCAGTCTCAGTTGAATGACCAGTCTTGAAACCTGACTGGTTGGATCAAGAAGGTCATTCTGAGAGAGATAGCAGGAGAGTTGGCTAGAGACGGCACGCTCAAGAGTTTTGGAGAAAAAAGAAAGAAGGGATACTGGTCTGTAGTTGACATTGGAGGGATCGAGTGTAGGTTTTTTGAGGAGGGGTGCAACTCTCGCTCTCTTGAAGATGGAAGGGACATGGCCAGCAGTCAAGGATGAGTTGATGAGCGAGGTGAGGTAAGGGAGAAGGTCTCCGGAAATGGTCTGCAGAAGAGAGGAGGGGATAGGGTCAAGCGGGCAGGTTGTTGGGCGGTCGGCCGTCACAAGTCGCAAGATTTCATCTGGAGAGAGAGGGGAGAAAGAAGTCAAAGCATAGGGTAGGGCAGTGTGAGCAGGACCAGCGGTGTCATTTGACGTAATAAATGAGGATCGGATGTCGTCAACCTTCTTTTCAAAATGGTTGACGAAGTCATCCACAGAGAGGGATGAGGGAGGGGGAGGAGGAGGGGGATTCATCATTCATCAAGGAGGAGAAGGTGGCAAAGAGCTTCCTAGGGTTAGAGGCAGAGGCTTGAAATTTAGAGTGGTAGAAAGTGGCAACAGAGGAAGAGAATGTAGAGAGGAGGGAGTGAAAAGATGACCGGTCCGCAGGGAGTCTAGTTTTCATCCATTTCCGCTCGGCTGCCCGGAGCCCTCTTCTGTGAGCTCGCAATGAGTCGTCAAGCCACGGAGCAGGAGGGGAGGACCGAGCTGGCCGGGAGGATAGGGGACATAGAGAGTCAAAAGATGCAGAAAGGGAGGAGAGGAAGGTTGAGGAAGCAGAATCAGGAGATCGGAGGGAGAAGGATTTAGCAGAGGGAAGAGATGATAGGATGGAAGAGGAGAGAGTAGCGGGAGAGAGAGAGCGAAGGTTGCGACGGCACATTACCATCGGAGTAGGGGCAGAGTGAGTAGTGTTGGAGGAGAGCGAGAGAGAAAAGGATACAAGTGGTCGGCGACTTGGAGGGGAGTTGCAGTGAATGAAATGAACTAAACATCTGGGAAAGCGAGAAAGCGGGGCCTCCCTCACTTACGTTTCACTGAAACACTCAAATATAACTCTCCCAACTTCCACTTTAGAAATTATAATTGTTGTAAACTACAGCGGTTCAATGTTTTCTAGGAATAGACTCTAACTTAGTTTATTCAGCTAGCTAACTTGTTACAGTATTCTTCCGTGAAAACCGTCCAGGTCACCGAATCCTATGACGCCATAGCCAACTAGCATGCCAGCCTCCAATAACACGGTTTAGCACCAATACTCGGTTACAACAAACCATTGTGTTAACACGGCAAACAGATCATTTGTGTCCGTGTCTAAAAGTTTGGGTTAGTTTTGACAGTTTGAGTGAGTACGTCGTCAACTTATTCAGCCAGTTACTTAGCTAGAATAGTTAGCATACTAGCTAGCCATTGCTCTCTGCCAACGAACCACCCCTCCTCCGACGGCACGAAACACACAGAGAGAGCCAAGCTAACGTTAACTAGTCACCCATGTCCCGAATTCCCTTGAACGACTCTTGTTACCAGTATGTAAAAACAAAACAAAAATAAATGTAGGTTATAACTTACCCTTAGTAGCTACTGTTAGCCAGTTAAGTACAACGCTAGCCACTGAATCGATTCAGCCAGTACGCGTCTCCCGCTAGAGAAGACACAACCTCACTGACACAACCCCTTCACTACAGTAGTGTTTAGTTACTGGATTTTAGTCATGACCAGGCAAACTGAAATAATGGAAGGCATTTACTGTTAAAGCTGTTAATTTCTACTTTGAATAAGTTGAAACCCAGACCCAAGCCTTGGGAGGAAACATTCCTCAATTTGCAGCCTTTTCTTACTACATTACCCAGGATGCACTGGGTGCAAAGTAGATACAGGGATCCCAACGCTGCCACCAACAGGCACCAGTACATCACCATGATCATGTAATCTCCTGTCTTCACCTCAGATCCCTTCAAGCCCTTCATCATCTTCTCCAACCGCCATGAGATCCGTCGTATCGACCTGAACAAGGGAGAGTTCAGCGTGCTGGTGCCTGGCCTGAGGAACACCATCGCCCTGGACTTCCACCTCGCAGAGAATGCTCTCTACTGGACCGACGTGGTGGAGGACAAGATCTACCGCGGCAAACTGTCCGAGAACGGAGGTGAATGTCTTTTACTACACACATAATGTATACGGACTCAGAATGTCCTCATTCAAGTCCACTTTCACATTCATGCACACTCACTATACTGAAAGGTATGCTTTGGATTTCTCCACTTTTTAGCTCTAGTTTGTGCATAGGCATTGAGACCAACAGCACACTTCTTTGTCTTTTGTGGAGTACTCCAACTTCCATGATTTCCCAATTGCCTTCGCAGTGGGGAATTCTGGGAATAGTAGCTGTACTGTGTTGTGCAGCCTGCAGGCCTACAGCTGCTGAGGAGAAGCAACTGGTAAATAACAAAGCAGATGGTCCAGCTCCATGCCGAAAGACAAAACAAATCAATCAAAACCACACTGTCACCTTCCAAACAGGCAAAGCCAATCAATCAAAACTAAACAGCTACCTTCAAAAAGGCAAAACCAATCAATCAACGACAATCTATAGAGCAGACGAGGCCCTCTCATTACAGTAGGGAGGCATAATGAGCGTGTGTGTGTGTCTACTCCAGTCAGGATAATGACTAATAATTAGACCGTTCTCTCTGATTAGGGACCTGGAATGGAAAAATGAATGGGTGAGAGAGGGGGATGAAAACAATTGTTTCTTCTCCTCTCTTCTTTTATTTGTACTGGCGCCTCATGTCATGTTGTTTGCTTAGGCTCAAACAGGAGTAGGATGCATCCTGTCAGTCGTAGGGAGAGTCGTGGCTGTGTAGGTGGCATTATTAGATACGCTTGGGCTGCATTGGCATTACAAAAAGTCACTGTGATTGATGTTCATGGTACTGGTAAGACACTTCGACAACTTTAATGACAAAAATTGAATAGGTTTACAGAAAGGGGGAATGATCACAGCAAAGCTTCACAATCAAATTAACCACAACCTCTCCATTCCTCCCTCTCTTCCTCCTCCCTCTCCCTCCCCCTCCAGCTCTGACCAGTTTTGACGTGGTGATCCAGTATGGCTTGGCCACTCCAGAGGGTCTGGCGGTAGACTGGATAGCAGGGAACATCTACTGGGTGGAGAGTAACCTGGACCAGATAGAGGTGGCCAAGCTGGACGGAACCATGAGGACCACCCTGCTGGCTGGGGAGGTGGAGCACCCCCGGGCCATCGCCCTGGACCCCCGCTACGGGTGAGAACCAGCACACTGCTGGAAATGGGTTAGCCTGGTCCCAGATCGGCTGGTTCTGTGTTGCTAACTCCTATGTTGACAATGACCATAGGAGTTGGAAAGGCAGCACAAACCTATCTGGGACCAGGCTAGGATGGAGTATACACATGGCTTAAAACTGGGTCTTGACTTCGGTCATTGGTTTTGGGTTTACTGGACCAGATAATTGAAGTTAAAGCCCCCCCCCCCCCCCCCCCCCTCTTATCTCTGTAGGATTCTGTTCTGGACGGACTGGGATGCCAGTATGCCAAGGATCGAGGCAGCTTCTATGAGTGGCGAGGGGAGGAGGACCATCCATAAGGAGACAGGAAATGGGGGCTGGCCCAACGGACTCACTGTAGACTACCTGGAGCTACGCATCCTGTGGATTGACGCCAGGTCAGAGAGAGGATATACAGTATATACACACATATACACACACACACACACAGGCTGTAATAAGTCACTGTATTGTGTTGTCTTCCATCCGTCCTCCAGGTCTGATGCTATTTACTCAGCCAAATATGATGGTTCAGGCCTGATCGAGGTGCTGAGGGGACACGAATACCTGTCGCACCCATTCGCAGTCACTATGTACGGGGGAGAGGTTTACTGGACGGACTGGAGGACCAACACACTGGCCAAGGCCAATAAGTGGACCGGTAACAACGTAACCGTGGTCCAGAGAACCAACACACAACCTTTTGACCTGCAGGTCTACCATCCTTCCAGACAGCCCCAAGGTAAGACACACACACACACACCTGCTAACACACATTCCTGCTAACACACTTTCATGGCGTTTAAGAGAGGTTAGCTACTTTGCTTTCGGTCACCACAGTATGACCTAGCCAGGCCTTACCTTGAATGATCTTGTGTGTTAATGAGTGTCTATCAATAAGGCTTGGCCATCCTGCTGCCATTACTCTCTAGAGCGAGACCACAGTGTCCCGAGTCAGTGGCCATTTGATTGACAGTTTCTCTAAGTCCATGTGTCATTCAGGAGAGTAGTGGCATCTGGCCTCCCCTGTCACAACCGCTCACCTCAAAATGGCCACGCTCAGAAAACCATCCATTTATGGATGAGACAGATAGGCCTGCTGCCTGAGTGGTAAGAGCTGTTTTATATGCACATACTGGATGACTTTAATTGATATTTTCCTCCCTCGCCTTCTCTCTCCACCTCGCTTATCCTTTCCTCACATTTTCCTTCTCTCTTTCTCCTCGTCTCTCGCATTCCATTTCCTTGTGCCTCTCTACCAATTCCTTTTCCCCCTCTCATTCACTCTCCCTCCCCTCCCCTCCCCTTCTCTTCTCATTTCTTTCTCTACCACCCTCCATTTTCCTTGTGCTTACGCTCTACCTCTTTCTCTCTTTATCACTGTCTCTATCCCTGCTCTCCCTCCCCCTCTCTCTCGCTCTCTCTCTCCACAGCTCCTAACCCGTGTGCAGCTAACAATGGGATGGGTCCCTGTTCTCACCTGTGTCTCATCAACTACAACCAGACCTTCTCCTGTGCCTGCCCTCACCTCATGAAGCTGGGAGCCGACAAACACACCTGCTACGGTAAACACACCTTAACACACACACACACGTACACACACAATCAATCTTCCACCTGCAACAGCAAGGACAAACAAAACTGCTGCTCCTACACTCACGTCTCTTCCACCCCCACACACACTCTTCCTCCTCCCCTGAGCTGGCAGATTGTCTCCTTCTCTTTGCTTGGCTTGGCAGAGAGATGGAGTTGCTGAGAGTGACACAGTGGGATTGATATTGTGTGTGTGTGTGTGTGTGATGATTCAGAGACGGGTCTGTTCTCCAGTACCCACGTACAGAGGTTTATTCTCACCAAAGGGAATCCAGAGGGAACACACACACACACACTCACACACATCCACCAGAAACATCCCTCATGAGTTGGATCACTCTACTCTACTGATTCCCCCCAGCCATGGCTTTGTGTCACAGTCCACACACACACAGGATTATCTCCTGGATTCTGTCACTTGTGGCATGGTGACGCCAAGAGAATTTGAGTGGTTTAGGCCTCGTCTCTAAACTGAAAGAGTGTGTGTTTGCATTTAGTATTCAGGGGAGCAGTTTCTATTATCTGTGGCGTAAAGGAATGGAGAGGCCCACTCTGTTTAAAGCTGGCATCAGCCACAACTCTCCATCATTCACTACCTAGAATATACACACATGCCTGGGCTATCTGATCTAGACTGGCTGAGAAGAGCCAAGTACAATCAGTTAACACACACTCCTCACTCCTGACTACTTGTTATTGTGGGGAATTGTATTAAGTGGACTCTTAAGTGGCAAAGACATTTCACACAACCACACACATGCACGCACGCACGCACACACACCATCACAATTGAACCCCTTTCCCCTCTCCTCCAGTCAGTTCCCGCTGTATGTCCGTGCGATCGGATAAAAGCCATACATACACACCATAACTCCCCAAACCCACCCAATACTCACACTCTATCCCAACCACCTCCCTAACTCCCTCCTTAATATATAATATCATTTCATTCTCTCCCTATCCAGAGTCCCGTCAGTTCCTGCTGTATGCCCGTCAGATAGAGATCCGGGGAGTGGACATAGACAACCCCTACTATAACTACATCATCTCCTTCACCGTGCCAGACATAGACAACGTGACTGTGGTGGACTATGATGCTCTGGAGCACCGTATCTACTGGTCAGACGTCCGCACTCAGACCATCAAGAGAGCCTTCATCAACGGGACTGGAGTGGAGACCGTGGTGTCTGCTGGTAGGGAAAATACTGTGGGAACATGTAACCTACTTTGGTTGAAATATTTAAATAGCTAGTTTATACAGAATGAATGAATGAGTCAATCAATCAGTCAAAACGGTCATTGAATTAGTTAGCAGTAAGGGGTAGTTCATCCAAATTAGAAACCTACATATTTGTGAGTCTCCTTGTCCATAGACTGCTTACAGGAAACGCATGTCATTTTTGTAATTTGGATGAACTATTCCTTTAATGAATATGTATAACTGTCTTCCCCTAGACCTGCCCAACGCCCATGGTCTGGCAGTAGACTGGGTGTCTCGGAACCTGTTCTGGACCAGCTATGATGCCAATAAGAAGCAGATCAATGTGGCCAGACTGGATGGATCCTTTAAGAACGCTGTCATCCAGGGCCTGGATAAACCCCACTGTCTGGTGCTGCACCCCATACTGGGGTAGGTAGAGCGCGCGCACACACACACACACACACACACACACACACACGATAAAGCTGTTTCACTGAGATCAATGCAGCTTTAAGAAATGGCTGTCAGACACCCTACTGCTTTCACCTCTAACACACATACATGCATACACACACACACACACTATGAACACACAGAGATCGTCTGACTGTCAGGCAGGCTCCCCACAGCTAGCAGTGTGCCATGATAGGCAGGGTAGTTTAGATGGTGGCTGACCTCTAGCAAAGAGCAGCCAGCTCTCCCGCTCTAGAAGGGACTCCAAACCCTCTCTCATCTCTCCCTTTTCATCTATCCCTTGTTCTCTCTCTCTCTTTCCTCTTTCTCAACAGATGGCTTCTGTGCTGAAAGCCATACATTATTTACACACTGTCACACACTGGCCCCTCTCTCGCTCGCAGTGTCTCAATTTCTCTCGCTCTCTCGCTCTCTCAGCCTTCTCTTTCAAACATACTCTTTCTCTCGCTCCCTCTCTCTCCTCAATTTACTTCCCTCTTACTCTCTCCCTCTCTCAATTTCTTTGTCTTTCTCTCTCTCTTAATTTCTTATTCTCTCTCTTACACACTCTTGCTCTCACCCTTTTCCCTCTATCACTTTTTTTCTGTTTTGCTCTCTTTCTGTCTTTTTGTCTTTAAAGAGACAAAGGCTCAGCAGGCATACACTTCTCCTAAGATCACTAACAGACATTTCTGGTGTTTGTGTGTTTCTCTCTGAGTGTGTGTGTGTGAGTGAGAGTGCTCCTCTTTGTCTATGAGTGTGTTTGTGAGTATGTGTGGGGCAGATGCAGAGGGGATATTATCTTTGAGAATGCCTCTGCCTTTTTTGTCCTTTTTCTGTTTTCTGAGAGACTTACTTAAGCTGAGGAATGTTTCCGATCTGGGCTTAGCTGCTGGCAGGGGGGAAGAAGCAGATGCTGAAGCTGTCTCCTCTTTCCTACACACACACACACACACACACACACACACACACACACAGACCCGCACACTGCCTAGAATGAGTCCAGGAGAGGAGTGGGCCGGGGTAGGGGGAGAGACAGACAGACATGAGACTGGAAGGTTTCAATTGTTTTTAGGAACTGTATTCAAATGAATGATAACAAAACAAATGCAGGGTGTGGTGGAGGAGAAGTAGGAGGAGAGGGGGGGTTAAGTACCTCCTTGATTGAAATAGTGACATACATGCTAAAGCAATCACAAATACACATTTTTTAGACAGGATTCACATTCAAGTGTGTGTGTGTGTTGTCTTTGATTGCATACGTTTCTTTTTTTTGACAAACAAAAACATACATCGACAAAAACAATAGACAATAGATTGGAAAGCTGCCGCGGTCATCCCCCTCTTCAAAGGGGGTGACACTCTAGATCCAAACTGCTACAGACCTATATCCATCCTGCCCTTCCTTTCGAAAGTATTTGAAAGCCAAGTCAACAAACAGATCACCGACCATTTCGAATACCACCGTACCTTCTCCGCTATGCAATCCGGTTTCCGAGCTGGTCATGGGTGCACTTCAGCCACGCTCAAGGTCCTAAACGATATTATAACCGCGATTGATAATAGACAGTACTGTGCAGCCGTCTTCATCGACCTGGCCAAGGCTTTCGACTCTGTCAACCACCGCATTCTTATTGGCAGACTAAATAGCCTTGGTTTCTCAAATGACTGCCTCGCCTGGTTCACCAACTACTTCTCAGATAGAGTTCAGTGTGTCAAATCGGAGGGCCTGTTGTCTGGACCTATGGCAGTCTCTATGGGGGTGCCACAGGGTTCAATTCTTGGGCCGACACTTTTCTCCGTGTATATCAATGATGTCGCTCTTGCTGCTGGTGACTCTCAGATCCACCTCTACGCAGACGACACCATTTTGTATACATCTGGCCCTTCATTGGACACTGTGTTAACAAACCTCCAAACGAGCTTCAATGCCATACAACACTCCTTCAGTAGCCTCCAACTGCTCTTAAACACTAGTAAAACTAAATGCATGCTTTTCAATCGAATGCTGCTGGCACCCGCCCACCCGACTAGAATCACCACTCTTGACGGGTCTGACCTAGAGTATGTGGACAACTACAAATACCTAGGTGTCTGGTTAGACTGTAAACTCTCCTTCCAGACTCACATTAAGAATCTCCAATCCAAAGTTAAATCTAGAATCGGCTTCCTATTTCGCAACAAAGCCTCCTTCACTCATGCTGCCAAACATGCCCTCGTAAAACTGACTATCCTACCGATCCTTGACTTCGGCGATGTCATTTACAAAATAGCCTCCAACCCTCTACTCAGCAAATTGGATGTAGCCTATCACAGTGCCATCCGTTTTGTCTCCAAAGCCCCATACGCTACCCACCACTGTGACCTGTACGCTCTTGTTGGCTGGTCCTCACTACATGTTCGTCGTCAAACCCACTGGCTCCAGGCCATCTATAAATCACTGCTAGGCAAATCCCCGCCTTATCTTAGCTCATTGGTCACCATAGCAGCACCCACCCGTAGTCTGCGCTCCAGCAGGTATATCTCACTGGTCATTCCCAAAGCCAACACCTCCTTTGGCCGCCATTCCTTCCAGTTCTCTGCTGCCAATGACTGGAACGAATTGCAAAAATCTCTGAAGCTGGAGACTCTTATCTCCCTCACTAACTTTAAGCATCAGTTGTCAGAGCACCTTACCGATCACTGCACCTGTACACAGCCCATCTGAAATTAGCCCACCCAACTACCTCATCCCTATATTGTTATTTATTTTGCTCTTTTGCACCCCAGTATCTCTATTTGCACATAATCTCTTGCACATCTAGCATTCCAGTGTTAATACTATTGTAATTATTTTGCACTATAGCCTATTTATTGCCTTACCTCCATAACTTGCTACATTTGCACACACTGTATATATATTTTCTGTTGTATTTTTGACTTTATGTTTTTTACCCAATATGTAACTCTGTGTTGTTTTTATCGCACTGCTTTGCTTTATCTTGGCCAGGTCGCAGTTGTAAATGAGAACTTGTTCTCAACTGGCTTACCTGGTTAAATAAAGGTGAAATAAAAATAAATAAATAAATTAACAAAAGGCTTTTGATAAAGTACGACTGGAATTTATATATAAATGCCTGAAATATTTCAATTTTGGAGAATCTCTTATACAATGGGTTAAAGTTATGTATAGTAACCCTAGGTGTAAAACAGTACATAATGGCTACAGAAAGTATTAAATTGTAAAGAGGAGTAATACAAAGTTGTCCACTATCGACATATCTATTTGTAATTGCCATTGAAATGTTAGCTATTAAAATCAGATCCAACAATCATATCAAGGGGCTAGAAATCCAGGGCTTAAAAACAAAGGTGTTATTGTACGCTGATGATTCATGTTTTGTTTAGTTTTAAATCCACAATTTGGATCCCTCCATAGCCTCATAGAGGATCTAGATACTTTTTATAACCTCTCTGGATTACAACCAAATTATGATAAGTGTACTATATTATGTATTAGATCACAAAAAATACAACTTTTACATTACCGTGTAGTTTACCAATTAGAATGGTCTGATGGTGAAGTGGACACACTCGGTATTCATATCACGAAATAAATAAATAATCTCACTACAATACATTTTTATAGAAAGTTAGCAAAAATAGATAAGATCTTGCTACCATGGAAAGGAAAATACCTGTCTATTTGTGGAAAAATCATATCCCAGTTTCCCTATTTGCTTATGGCCTTGCCTACACCTAGCGACTTGTTTTAAAATTATGTGAGAGAAAAGATATTCCATTTTATTTGGAACGGCAAGCCAGACAAAATTAAAAGGGCCTATTTATATAATGAATATGAATTCGGAGGGAAGAAATAATTAAATATTAAAGCATTAGACCTCTCACTAAAGGCTACAGTCATACAAAAGTTATACTTCAATCCAAACTGGTTCTCTAGCAGATTAGTAAAACATTTCAAGAATGTAAAAAATATATGGAAATGTCTGCTCTACTCAAAATTACAACCAACTAATTGCAGCATTACCGCAACAATGGAAGAGGCAAGTGGAAGGGGGAGAAAGTAAGGAACTTGTCTGTCGGCCCTGCATTAAAGACCAAAATTGGTTAAAGAAAATTGTAATAAATAAAAAAGTGTACCAGTTTCATTTAAGGACCAAAAAATTGACAGCTGTGCCAAATAGATTGCAAAATAGTTGGAAAGAGATTTTCTATGTACCTATACACAAAACGACGCTGGATTCAAAACTTCGATTTTTAAATTATTATACAAAATTCTTGCAACCAATAGAATGTTATATAATATTAGGGGATACAACCATTCCAGCTCTGCAGATTTTGCTGCGAAGAGACAGACTCATTCAATCATTTGTTTTGGTACTGTCCATAGCATGTTTTTGGTCGCAGGTTCAGAAATGGCTGAAGAATTGCAACATTTACCTGGAGCTAACTCTGCAAATAGCACTGCTGGTGGTTTAAAAAGTCATAGGCAATCAATCAATAATATAATAATACTCTTAGCAAAAATGTTTATCTGTAATTTACAATCTGTAGACACTATGAGAATAGAAAGGTTCAGGACTTTTGTGAAACATCATAGCACAGTTGAAAAATATATGGCAAATAGAAAACTGGATAGTGTTAAGAGATAGATGGGAGGGTTTAAGTAGGCCTGAAGGGTGGGACTAACAAGATAACTAATGTAAAATATACTGTGTCGGTAAAAGGTTCAGAACATTTGTGAAACAGCACAGTTGAAAAATATATAGCAAATAGAAATCAAAACTGGATGGTCTTCAGAGATAGATGGGAGGGGTTGAGGGTAGCTGAAGGATGGAACTAAAAACAAACAAAAGATAACAATTATAAAATATACTGTGTCCGTAAAATGTATATAGTGTGTATAAGCTGGAAGTTGAAGCCTAGGTGTTGTCGGTTAGTTTACCCCAATTAGGGGAGGGGTGGTAGGGTTAGGGGAAAATAATAAAGGAAAATATATTTAAAACGATATATATTTGATATATAGTCTACCAGTCAAAAGTTTGGACACCTACTCATTCAAGGGTTTTTCTTTATTTTTACTACTTTGTACATTGTAGAATAATAGTGAAGACATCAAAACTATGAAATAACACATATGGAATGATGTAGTAACCAGAAAAGTGTTAAAGAAATGAAAATATACTTCAAATACCCACCCTTTGCCTTGATGACAGCTTTGCACACTCTTGGCATTCTCTCAAACAGCTTCACCTGTCTATAGCCAGGTTTTTTTCAATATTAAAATAATAAAGCATTAGATTCTCTTAACTTTGAGAGAGAGAGAGAGAGAGAGAGAGAGAGAGATTAAAACACAGGGTACATTTTTACATAGATTGTAAACTAGATGTATAACTACATACATTTACATCTGTCAAGGAGATGTTCAGTAGATATACAGTCATTATGGGACCTCCAAATGTATAGCTATGATGATGGTTTTGCTAGTTTTGAACAATTTCTTTCTCACTTAAAAAAATATGTATGAACGTTGTTATGGGTGTTGTCTAATTGTGTGTGTGAAAAAACGTAATAAATAGTTTTCATAAATTGTTTGGATGATAATAGGTTAGGTGCTATCCAGGTTAACGAACAACAGGTCTTGTCATTTCTAGTGCTTTCAGTAGCATGATGTATTGACATTCTGTCTCTCTCTCTCTGTATTCCAGGAAACTGTACTGGACAGATGGAGACAACATCAGCATGGCCAACACAGATGGCAGCAACCGCAGTGTCCTCTTCACCAATCAGAAAGGCCCAGTGGGTGAGTGGCTCTGGGGGGAAAAAATGGTGCACTTTATATAAGGAATAGATTGCCATTTGGGATACAGCCATAATGTTCCTCCGTCTCTCTGTCTGTCTCCAGGTCTGTCCATAGACTTTGACACAGAGCAGTTGTACTGGATCAGCTCAGGGAACAGCACCATCAGCCGCTGTAAGCTGGACGGTTTGGGTCTGGAGGTTCTGGAGGGGGTCAAGGGCAAACTGACCAAGGCCACAGCTCTGGCCATCATGGGTACATAACATGGCTCCGCTCTTACTAGGACTGTACATTCTGCCTTCTAGCTGCTTTTAGTTTTCTATCTCGAAGAGTTTGAATACTCAGAAATTGAGCTACAGTAGGTCTCAACATCGGTTCTTTGTGTGATCATAGTATGAGTATGATGGGTCATTTTCAAATAGTCATTTTGTGATTGGTTGCTGTGTGTAGGGGACAAGCTATGGTGGGCGGACCAGGGCACTGACCAGATAGGAACCTGTGACAAGCGTGACGGAGGGAACTGGAAAATCCTGAGAAACAGCACCTCTGCCATGATGCACATGAAGATCTACAATGAGACCGTGCAGAAAGGTGTGTGTATGTCAGTGTGTATGTGAGTGTATATTATGTTTGGGCACCATGGTAACTATAGATTAGACATAACCATTTTAATCTATGTATGCAAAAACATATTTGTCTTTGTTTGTACTCTGTAAAAGTAGAAACTTGTTTGTGTGGGTGCAGGTTCCTGAGCATGTGTTTGTTTGTGTTTTTGTGTGTTGTGTTTCCAGGCACCAATCTGTGCAGTAATAGCAATGGAGACTGTTCCCAGCTGTGCCTGCCCACCTCCCCGACCACACGAGCCTGCATGTGTACCGCTGGATACAGCCTCAGGAGTGGACAACAGTCCTGCGAGGGTGAGACACACACACACACACACCATGAATAGGTTATTTGGATCTTTATTTTGATATTTGAAAGGTCATAGATGCCTGGTCTTGCAGTCATTGAAACAAAACATTACCTCAGCTATTAGTCAAACAAACACAAGCTACATATATCATTTGGACGTGCTATATTTGGCAAAACAGAGATTAATATAATATATTCTCATATTCATTCATTTGTTTTCATCTGGAAAGATGACATGTCTTGTACTGCCACTGACCTCTTAGTGTGTCCAGTGATAAACTCTGGGTAATGTTTCCCTTGGCCTCAGGTGTGGGCTCCTTCCTGCTCTACTCTGTTCATGAGGGCATCCGTGGCATCCCCCTGGACCCCTCGGACAAGTCAGACGCTCTGGTGCCAGTGTCAGGCACCTCCCTGGCTGTGGGCATAGACTTCCATGCAGGTAGGGACGCAGACACACACACACACACACACACCTTGGAGGGAGGGGTTTTCAAACACTATACAAAACCAACATCTATTTTTTTTTTTTAGATTGGTAGTCATGAAAATATGCTGAATCTAGCCAGTATGATAGGCGCATTCCAAATTAACATGTGAATGAATGAGTATGATGGGTATAGTACATCTACTGTTCTGTACTGTACTGATGGCTCTCTCCTCTCCCCTCCAGATAATGACACTATCTACTGGGTGGACATGGGCCTAAGCACCATCAGCAGAGCTAAGAGAGACCAGACCTGGAGAGAAGACGTGGTCACTAACGGCATCGGCAGAGTGGAGGGCATCGCTGTGGACTGGATCGCTGGTGAGGCACACACACACACACACACATGCATGCATACATACAGACTCATACGCGCACATGTACAGACACGTGCGTACTATCTCATACTGTATACACACTCTCACACACACATTCAGCATCTGTCACAGACTCATGGCTGACACGCTTCACAGCCTTACAGAAGAGAGATGAGACTCATTCTGATCACGTCTTCACCTCTGCAAGGTGAGGGAGAGAAATACAGTCAGGGGGAGGGAGAAGCTAACAAAGAAGGAGAAAGAGCAACAGCGGAAGAGGGTTAGACCGAGGAGATGGGAAGAAGCCCAGATAGATAGGTACCTGTATAGCCCAGGTCACATGACATGGGTGTACAGAGCGAAGCCTTACTGCAGGATGAGTAATGAACACTGCAGCATTCCATCAGCCCTCTGAGGTTACGCTGGGAAACCCTGTTTACACCACAGCACCAAAACAATAACACAACATGACTGCATTCTCCATTTGCCTAGTTGTATTAAGTGTCATAAACAGTGAAAATGTATAGAACTTCATTTACATTTACAGTAACCTTCCACTACTTTATCAGTTACTCTTGTGGTTGATCCCATGTAATGTTGTTTTACTGTAAAGCATGTTGATTGTTTAAAATACACTGTTGTAAAAGTGTGGCTGGTTTGTATTGCTGTTGTATTATGTGTTGGTGCTCTGTCCCTCCATAGGGAACATCTACTGGACTGACCAGGGCTTTGATGTAATTGAGGTGGCCAGACTCAATGGCTCCTTCCGCTACGTGGTCATCTCCCAGGGCCTGGACAAGCCCCGCGCCATCACTGTCCACCCAGAGAAAGGGTGAGGACAGGGGGAAAATGGGGGGGAATTGACCTTATATTTGTATTTATTAGGGATCCCCTCTTCCTGGGGTCCAAACACATTAAGGCACTTACATTACATATAAAACAATACATCATATAACATTATTACACCACTACATATCTACAATACAAATAGTATAATACCACCATACAACAATATTATAATGTACATGTGTGTAGAGTGCGTGTGCTAGCGCTTGTGTGCGTATGCGTGTGTGTGTCTCTTCACAGGCCCCGCTGTTCCATAAGGTGTGTTTTTATGGTTTTTTCATCTGATTCTACTGCTTGCATCAGTTACCTGATGTGGAATAGAGTTCCATGTAGTCATGGCTCTATCTAGTGCTGTGCACCTCCCATAGTCTGTTCTGGACTTGGGGACTGTGAAGAGACCTCTGGTGGCATGTCTTGTGGGGTATGCATGGGTGTCTGAGCTGTGTGCCAGTAGTTCAGACAGACAGCTATGTGCATTCAGCTTGTCAACACTTCTTACAAAACAAGTAGTGATGAAGTCAGTCTCTCCTCCACTTTGAGCCATGAGAGATTGACATGCATATCATTAATGTTAGCTCCCTGTGTACTTTTAAGGGCCCGCCGTGCTGCCCTGTTCTGAGCCAATTGTAATTTTCCTAAGTCCCTCTTTGTAGCACCTGACCACAAGACTGAACAGTAGTCCAGGTGCGACAAAACTAGGGCCTGTAGGACCTGCCTTGTTGATAGTGTTGTTAAGAAGGCAGAGCAGCACTTTATTATGGACAGACTTCTCCCCATCTTAGCTATTGTTGTATCAATATGTTTTGACCACGACAGTTTACAATCCAGGGTTACTACAAGCTGTTTAGTCACCTCAACTGTTAAATGAGGGGAAAGTGACCTCTCTCTTACTCTGTGTGTACAGGTATCTGTTCTGGACAGAGTGGGGTCAGTACCCTCGGATCGAGAGGTCTCGTCTGGACGGGTCTCAGAGAGCTGTACTAGTCAACGTCAGCATCAGCTGGCCTAATGGCATCTCCATAGACTACCGGGTACAGTATAACGCCCACACATATAACCACAACACACACACAAACATACACTGAACTCCCTGTCCTTGTGATGTGTGTGTGCAGGAGGGTCTTCTGTACTGGTGTGATGCTCGTACAGACAAGATAGAGCGTATCAACCTGGAGACGGGAGCGAACAGAGAGGTGGTGCTGGCTAACAACAACATGGACATGTTCTCTGTCTCGGTGTTTGAGAACTACATCTATTGGAGTGACAGGTCTGTCTCTGTATCGCTCTCTCACTCTCTTTCTCGCTGACATTCACTCCTCCACCTATTCATTGAGTCTATAATTAATTCACTCCCTCTCTCCATAATCTGTCACCTTGCTTCTCAGCTGTTGTCTCCCTCACTCTTTCTACACTGATGTCATGTCTCCCTCTCGCTTTCTGATATTCTTTTCCGCATTTATTTACTGTCACTAATTTATTCACTCACTCTTTCTCAATCGTCTTTCACCTTCCTTCTCAGCCGGTGTCTCCCGCACTCCTTCTTTAACTTAGTCTGTCTCTCTCCCTGATGTCATGTCTCTCTCTCTCTGTCTCTGTCTGACCTGTATCAGGACTCATGCCAATGGCTCCATAAAGAGGGGCAGCAAAGACAACGCTACAGATTCTGTGCCTCTGCGCACTGGCATCGGAGTACAGCTCAAAGACATCAAAGTGTTCAACAGGGCCCGGCAGCAAGGTGGGCAGTGTGTGGATGTGTTAGTTTAGAGAGTCTACTCAAAGATGATTTATAGGGGCAATAATGCTGTAAAGTTTGATAATACAGTTATTTGAGATCCCAAACCCATTGAAGAAGATTTTATTATTATTATACCATTTAATGTGTTATTTTTCATATTTGAATTATCTGCCGATTTATTGAGAGAAAAAAAGATCTACAGTGAATATTAAATATGTTTCCCCTCCACACAGGAACTAATGTGTGTAAGGATAACAACGGCGGCTGCCAGCAACTGTGTCTTTTCCGTGGCAACGCAGAACGTACATGTGCCTGTGCTCACGGCATGTTGGCCGAGGACGGACGGGGTTGCCGTGACTACGATGGCTACCTACTCTACTCGGAACGGACCATTCTAAAGAGCATTCACCTATCGGATGAAAACAACCTAAATGCTCCTATAAAACCGTTTGAGGATCCTGAACACATGAAGAACGTTATAGCTCTGACGTTTGACTACCGTGGAGGAGGAGGGAAAGGAGCCAATCGCATCTTCTTCAGTGACATCCACTTTGGAAACATCCAGCAGATCAATGATGATGGCTCGAACCGCAAGACGGTGGTGGAAAGTAGGTTATTCACCCGCCTCTCTATCCCCTCCTCTCTTATTCATACAATCGAAATAAGCATTTCGTTACACCTTTTATACCTTCTGTAAACTGTGTATGTGATGAATAACATTAGATTTATTTTTTTTTTGATCTGTTATCATCCACCTAATCCTATAGCAATCCATGTCCTCTTTTCCGTCATAACCCATACTCCATTGATTTACCCTGTTTTCAATTTACCCTGTTTTCAATGCTAATTGATAAGGCCAAGTGAATGTAGGTAAGCACTAGTTAATCAGGTTATTTGGCTGAAGTTTGAGGAATTTGATAAAACATTTTCCCTCTGTTAGACGGCTCTCTCTCCCTCCCATTCGTTAAGCATAATCTTTCATCCTTCTCTCCTCCTCATCCTCCTCTTCCTCCTCCTTCACTAAGAACAAACCCTATTTGGTGGTGATATACAGCAGACACCCAATGGGTAGCAGTCTCCAGGAAGAAACAGCTGGGGCTCAAACAACTTGTTTTGGACCTCCAACTGATAAACATGGCAGGAAAACCTAGTGGCCAACTATTATTTCTGAGAGTTCGGAAAACAATGTGGAAGTCTTTCATATCTACCTCATTTTGGGAACACACTGTACACAACAACATAAACCAGATTGAGGCACAGATAGACCTTCATTCTCTTTATCTCAGAAGAACATAACAGAAAGAAACAACAATCGGCTAAAGAATGGTAGTACTGTGTAAAATAGCTCACATCCTTTAAAAATCTATTTTTTTATTTTAATAAGCAGAAATGTATTTCTCCCGGATGTCTCTGTTCTCTGCCATGTCCCAGGAGGCCCTCTAGACAGAGGCCTTTGATTCTCAGTGTTCAGATCCTCCTTTTAGACTGTTGTCTCACAGTATGGAGGCTCTTTACTTCAAGTGCTGTCCCTCAATTGAACCTTGGCGCTCAAGAGCTGTATACTACAGCTTAGTGTGATAGTTGTGCACTGGAGTACCAGGAAGATTTGGGTAGAAATGGTTTTGTAGTTTAGTCCTGTAGAGTTGTTATTGTGACACTTTTTTGTTCTTCCCTCCAGCTCTCAGACAATATATTTTCAGTTCCTATCCAGTTTGTCATGGACACAAAGCATAACCTTAGAGATTTAGATACATGTCCACCAATCCTGTATAGATGGGTCTGTTGTCACGGTTACGGACCCCCACTCCTGGCCCCTCTGCGACCCAGCTCCAGCAGGTCCTGTCTGAACTTCTGGGACATGAGGACATAGAGGATGGGGTTGGCCACGGTAGAGGAGGTGGCCATGAGGCGGGCGAACACACTGAAGGGCCCGTAGCGAGGTGATGACCCCGTGGCCCCATGGCTGCCTCCCCCCAGGAGGGCAAAGGTCAGGCCGTAGGAGGGCAGCCAGCACAGGGTAAAGGCCAGCACTAGCAGGGCCGAGGTTTGGGTCACCTTCCGCTGGTATCGCTCCACTTGGGGCACCCGGCTGTCCCTCCGACTCCGCCACAAGAACAAGTAGATCCCGCCGTAGGCCACAGCGATGACGCCCAGTGGCAGGGCGAAGGACAGCAGGAAGTGGCAGGCACCATAGGCCAGCTGGCCGTTGTGCGACAGGAAGTTGAAGCAAGCCAGGCCGTCGGGGTTGATGTGCTGGGCACCCACGGAGCGGAAGGCCAGCTGTGGGGCAGCCATGGCACAAGCGGGAAGCCAGAGAGCAGCGGAGGTCAGCGCCACGCGGCGAGGAGTAAGAAGGCGGTAGGCCTGGGTTGGCTCCACCACGGTCAGATACCGCGTCACGGCCAGGGCGGCCAGCGTGAAGGCACTAGCCGAGGAGCAGGCGGCGCCCAGGAAGCTCACCAGCCGACACAGGAAGTCCCCGAAGGGCCAGTGCTGCATCGCTATTGCGATGGTGTGGAAGGGCAGCATGGATAGAAGGAGGAGGTCGGCCGCACTCAGGGCCAGCAGGAGGGTGTCCGTCCCTGTCCCTGTCATGGTCCCCTGGTTGGGTTGACCTCCCGGACCTGCCCTTCTTCTACGACGACCACACAGGATGATCATCACCAAGGAGTGCCCCGTCACACCCAGCACCAGGATCAGGACATCCATCACTGGAACCAGGACCAGCTCCACACTGCCCACCACAGACTCCTTGTCACCAGAGCCACTGTCATTCCTCCACACAGATCCATAATCAGCCATGGAGAGGACAGACAGACCAGCCTTAAAGGGGCTTCTCCTTAGTCCTTACACTGAGCCTAGAGTTGATACAGTGAAGCAGTGAAGCAGTGATGACTGATGAGAAAAAATCATAGCCGCCAAATAATAGCAGCAAGATGACACTCCCATGGGTTGATATCTACCGGCTGTAAAAACTAGTCTTCTGCTTATGACTAATCAACTAGCCACTGATAACAAAGCGTGTGGGAGTTATTATTGAAACGGAGAGTCGATAACAACACTAAGGTGTGACATTAACAGGAACATTCAGCAGACATGACATTACATAGATTCTCAATGTTACTTCTTCTGACCATAACCACTCTGAAGTTGCCCTCCTGTCAGTTAGGATTCAATCGGTTTGTCTCGCTCAGTATTTCTCGCCATAGTCCAGAAACTCACAATATAAACTTTTTTTTTCTGCAAAGTGTTTACGTTTCCAAAAATAGTCCTTTTGAAAGACTACTGATGAGTGACTGTTACCAGTCACGTCATTGAGGTCTCCCACAATTCGAATCAAGCCTTTCTAGTCCTGGCAATCAGCTCTACCTTGGTCCTAGTCCCTCCAAAGAAAGGAGAGAACATAGACATCAGCCCCCCTCCGTTGACGTTTGAGATGCTATTGATTTAGCGTCTAGCTAGCCGCCGGGCTCTCCGTCTCTCCCCAGGACTCCTGCTATGTTCGTCTGACAGCCTCTGACAGTGGTGGCCGGCTGGGACTGTGTTGCTGAGCTCTAAACTCTCTGGATGGCTCTGTCTCCTGTCAGCTCACATCAGAAAGCCACTGCATGACACCTCAATCAGTCTTCTACTGCTAAGTCATCGACAGTCTGCCAATTCAAAGCCCACAGGAAGGAATCTCTGGAGAGATAGAGGGAGAGAAGGAGAGTGCTGTAGGAGAGGCAGGTATATGGGCTTGAAGGAAGAGGTGAATCACGGTAAATAACATGTGAACTCTGGACTGCTCTGTACTGTATGGCTTTGACAGTGACAACGCAAGAGGGATATGGGTTGGTCTGTTGTCAGTGGGAGGACCTGTTCAGGACAATCAAAGCCTTTCACAGAGTTTGACACACACACACACACACACACACACACACACACACACACACACACTGCCACCCTCTGTACTTGTTCATGTGACATTACAACTTGAAACATGAGAAATCAGGGTAATTGTTTACCTTTGCCCTGAGAGCAAACACTCAGCGGGAGTGCTGTGGTCTGTTATCACACCCAGATAAGTGCCATAAAACTCTTTGTGTGTGTGTGTGTTAGTATGAAAATGTATGCACTCACTAACTGTAAATCGCTCTGGATAAGAGCGTCTGCTAAATGACTAAAATGTAAAATGTAAATGTGTGTGTGTGTGTGTGTCATTCCACCTCAAAAAGCACAAGAAAGAGGATTTCGACACCCACCATCTCAGATTGTTCAGACATTTTTTCTGTATTTAGACAACAGATAAGATTAGCATTCCTGGAACATTATTTTGTTGAAATGTAATTTGATCTCTGAGAAATTAAACTAAACTTTGCCATTTTAATTTATAGGATTAATTTAATTTTCAATAAATATAGTACCTAACATCTGATTTGGACCATCATTCTTCCTAACAATGAGTTAGACATGAGGAATCCAATAAAATTATCAATAGCCACCCACAGACCACCCACGCCAATCCCACCCCAACAACCAGTATCAGTTCTCTATGTCTGACAAGTGGTATGGAGCTGCTGCTTGGAGTATTTCTTCTTCACAATGTATTTCCATTATGAGCAAAAGCAATTGGTTTTCTACCCAAAGTTGCAAAGAAAATGTGAGACGTTTAATAAACACTAGAGACCAGCAAAATGGATCAAAGGGTGTGGTGGCAGTAGCAGGAACAGCGGCATCTAGTGGGCAAAACCAGGTATTTCCACACTCATTTAATGGGATAGAATGCAAGCGACTTCAATGGCTAATTTCTCTGAAGAGGGGAACAAACCATCACCAGATTCACAGGGAATACATTGCAAAGGTTGAAGAAGCAATATACAACAAAATAATGTTTCAGGAATGCTAATCTTATCGGTTTCTAACCACATAATTGATATCAGAACCATCTGAGATGTTGGGTGACATGGCTTGCTGAAATGACATGGAATGACCCGTGTGTGTGTGTGTCTGTGTATGCGCGTGTGTGTGTGTATATGAAGCTCAGGATAAGAGGGTGAACTCTGTACGTTTACCAAGAGCTTGTAAATTCAGCTCCTTTGTAAACTTCAACTGCTGCAGTCAGCATACAGGACAGAGATGGGCCTATACAGTAGAGATACACACAGGGAAGCCAGCATTAAAAGGTGTGAGGAAAGCGGAAACACGGATAGGAAAGTGTAGAGCCTTGCAGCCCGACAATTTATGATTTATTAAAAGCACCGAGGAGAGAGGAAATTGAGGGAGCAGATTTAGTGTTGCACTTCATCAATTTTTTAAAGCGTTGATTTATGAGAGTGGGAAACCAGAGGGAGTTGTTTTAATGTCACACACCTGGGCTCTACACACTCCAGCTCTTAGGTCCTTAGCTCGGTCTCATTCAAAATCTCTCACAATACATTGCTAGCCAGTCCATGACTCATGTCTGTGGTGTTGAAATGGAGAGATGGAGGTGAAGTGCAAAGTGTCCCACCTTGTGTTGAACCTCCCAGAGACACTGGCCAGGCATGTGATGTACTTATTAGGTCATAACCGCTTCAGAAGAAGGCCTATTAAGTAATTCCAGTCCCTCTGTTTCTACTGGGATAACAAGCAGGTGACTATTAGTCTTTTTGGAACAATCAGTTGTGGTTGACTGTGGGGGTGTGTGTTGTGCGTAACTTGAAAGTGTCCTTGTCAGACTTTAAGAGTGTGTCTGTGTGTGACTGTGTGTGTTTCTCCACCACCAGAGCACAGTGTGTTCCTCCATCTTGGCCAGCTCTCCCCTCCCCAGTCTCCTCTCGTCTGGACTGGCCTGAGCTGAGATGGGCTCAGCCAGTTACTCATTAGAAGGCTGTGAAGCACAAAAATGCTGTGAACCCTCCCAACTATCGATGATAAAGAGCAATGGAAGGAAATATGCTGCTAGCTGTTAGCCATTTATGTTGTGACCTTTTGGAGAGCTGTTAGTTTGATGAAAGCCTTAGCTCACAGAGAGTTCTAGATCATTACCAGTGGCCTGTCGTGTCCTCAGTGAGTAGTCTCTGTACCTCCTCTGCTATGGCATCCAGCTCTACTCTGTCCGCCAGCTCTGTGCTACTGCCAGAGACCTGAGTCATGTCCTTTTAACACGCAACTGGGATTGACGTGGTATTTGCCTCTTCTCCTCCCTCCCTGTCTTTCTTTCCTTGCCCTTTTTTATTTTTCTCTCTCTCGCTGTCTCTACCTCTCTCTCTACCTCTCTCTCTCTCTACCTCTCTCTCTCTCTCTACCCCTCTCTCTCTCTCTACCTCTCTCTCTCTCTCTACCTCTCTCTCTCTCTCTACCTCTCTCTCTCTCTCTACCTCTCTACCTCGTCAGACGTGGGTTCAGTAGAGGGCCTGGCGTACCACCGAGGCTGGGACACTTTGTACTGGACCAGCTATACCACCTCCACTATCACCCGCCACACGGTCAACCAGAGCCGCTGGGGTGCCTGGGACCGCAACACCGTGGTCACCATGTCTGGAGACGACCACCCCCGGGCCTTTGTACTGGACGAGTGTCAAGAGTGAGTGTCTCTTGGACCGTAATGGTCATAAATCGCACTGTTCCAATTGTGCCATTTGAATCAGAAGCCCATCCACTGTTGTGAACGTTTACACACATCTGCATTATATACTATAAGTTCCCTCGTGTTGTCACCCACCAGCCTGATGTTCTGGACCAATTGGAATGAACAGTCTCCCAGTATCATGCGTGCCACCCTGTCTGGTAACAATGTACTGGTGATCATCGGCAGTGACATCCGTACCCCCAACGGCCTGGCCATAGACCACCGCGCTGAGAAACTCTACTTCTCCGACGCCACCCTGGACAAGATCGAACGCTGCGAATATGATGGCAGCCGCCGCTACGTGAGTGACACTGGCACACATGCACACACACACTCGCAGATTACATACGCAATAACCCACCCACATTCACGAAACACACTTGATGGTTCAACTGTTGTGTGTATCTCTGCTGCCCCCTATAGGTGGTGTTGAAGAATGAGCCAGTCCATCCGTTTGGTCTGGCGGTGTATGGAGACTACATATTCTGGACCGACTGGGTCCGCAGGGCTGTCCTCAGGGCCGACAAGTACGTGGGCGGTGACATGAAACTCCTCAGAGCCGACATCCCCCAGCAGCCAATGGGCATCGTCGCTGTGGCCAACGACACCAATAGCTGTGAGTTCTAAGGAAAAGAGGGTGTGGTTTGGGTGGAAGTGTTTTTTTAGGGCAGATAAAGGGGTGGGGGATTGGGGGGTTGGCGTGGGCAAGCAGAGTGGTACACATACCATTGGAGGCTGGTGGGAGGAGATATAGGAGGACATGCACATTGTAATGGCTGGAATGGAATAAATGGAACAGAGTCAAACATTGTTTCCATATCTTTGATACTGTCCTCCTATAGCTCCTCCCACCAGCCTCCTCTGACACACACACACACCTTCACACACACTGCTGTGCCACCAAAGTTAATGAGGTTTAAGAAGTAATCAGTGTGACACAGCTGAGGGGAGCTCCATACACCTGGAGAATGAGACCACCTGAGACTCCACTGCCCCAATCTATCACCCTGTACACACACACTCCCCATCTTCTGCTCCAACAGTCTCATGCCACACACATTTCCTCGTCATCTCTCTAACCTCGTCCAGTTCAATTCACACTTGTTCATCTCACTGAGTTTTCAATCTCCCTCTATCACTTCAAATCAATGGCTCTGTCTTTCTCAACCACCCCCACACCCTCAACACCCACTATTCACTTCCCAGTTGCTTACCTCCTCCCCACTCTCAACACACACAGTGAACCTGTGGTAATTGCTGGAAATCCCATTTACACTGTGTCAGTTTATATTAGACACAAGTAGATGGAGAGTTTTGTTGTTCTCTGAACACTGTGTGTGTACGTGCGTGCTCTAACCCTCTCTCTTTCTCTGTGTAGGCGAGTTCTCTCTGTGTCGGGTGAACAACGGAGGTTGTCAGGACCTGTGTCTTCTGACCTCAGAGGGCAGGGTCAACTGTACTTGCCGTGGCAATGGCGAAAGGAAACTGCTGGAGGACAACACCTGCATCGGTGAGAAAGCGGGGGAAAGGGGGGATAGGGAAGGGTGGAGAAATGAGAGAACTAGGGCAAGGGGAGGGAGAGTGGATGAGGGCATTTTATCATGTCATTAATGATGTAAGAACAGCCAATGGTGCTGGTTTTTCAATCCTACTTTGAAATGTTCAGCACTAAAACGATGTTTTTATAAAATCTGATGTTAAGTGTGTCTTTCCCCTTCCCAGCCCTGAACACCACGTGCAGCAGTGTAGATGAGTTTGAGTGTGGGAACGGAGACTGTGTGAACTACACTCTGACCTGTGACGGCATGGCCCACTGCAAGGACAAGTCCGACGAGAAACAGTCCTACTGCGGTGAGTGACACCGACAGGGACATTCTTTTACATTACCACTATAAGCCATAATGTGACTAATGTTTCTAACATAATCTTTTCCTGCCCTTCGTCTTCAGCCAACCGGGTGTGTAAGAAGGGCTACAGGCGGTGTGTGAATGGCAGGTGTGTGGGACACAGCTCCTGGTGTAACGGACAGGACGACTGTGGAGACAACTCAGACGAACTCTTCTGCAACAGTAAGCAGGCTAGCTATCTCATGCAGTGGTGGTAGTTTGGGTTGATTTTCTATGGAAATGTTCTATATTTGTGTAGAGTTTGTCACCAGAGTAATGTGTGTCTGTCTGTGTCTGTTCCAGCCACCCTGTGCACGGCAGAGCAGTTCCAGTGCAGAGACGGAGGCTGCATCACAAACTCCAGCAAGTGTAACCAGATGGTGGACTGTGAAGACGCCAGCGACGAGATGAACTGCTGTGAGTCACCTTGGATGCCAGTCTAGTTTAAACTAAAGCTAACAATAGATTTAACTCAAACGAACCCAGACTTAACTCTTGACTAGACTCAACTCAAGACAGAACACAGACTAACCTTTAGACTAGACTCAACTAAACCTAACATCAGACGTAACTCTAATCCAGACTTAATTCTGGACCAGACTAACTCAGTCAACATTGCTCTGTCATAATGTATAATGTCACTTTACAGCTGATAGATACGATGCTGAAGCTAATGAACTAAATGAGTTTAAACTGACTTTATAAGACTCACTGTGTAACCCCTGTCCCTGTCCACCAGCTACTGACTGTTCCAGCTACTTCCGCCTGGGGGTTAAGGGTGTGACCTTCCAGAAGTGTGAGTTCACCAGCCTCTGCTATGCATCCTCTTGGGTGTGTGACGGAGCCAACGACTGTGGAGACTACTCCGATGAGAGGAACTGCCCAGGTGAACACACACATGCGCACGCATGCACACACACACACACACACACACACATAGACACAGCACACATGCCCAAACATAGATACACACTTAAAACACACACACAATAAGCTGCAACATCTCAAATGTTTTCAGACTTTTGTCCTTGTGGACTCTGATTCAGTGTATCTCATTAAGGCAGCAAGCTGCTAGGGGAGCCCCCAGAGTTCACATTAAAACACAAACATTTCGGCCTCCCGAGTGGCGCAGTGGTCGACGGCACTGCATCGCAGTGCTTGAGGTGTCACTACAGACCCGGGTTCGATCCCAGGCTGTGTCACAGCCGGCTGTGACTGGGAAGCCCATGAGGCGGCGCACAATTGACCCAGCGTCGTCTGGGTTTGGGGAGGGTTTGGCCGGCTGGGATTTCCTTGTCCCATCGTGCTCTAGCGACTCCTTGTGGCAGGCCGGGCGCCTGCAAGCTGACTTCGGTCGCCAGCTGGACAGTGTATCACAATTCTAGTGGGTCAGAAGTTTACATACACTAAGCAAATCAATCCCTGAACAACAGCAAAGGACCTTGTGAAGATGCTGGAGGAAACAGGTACAAAAGTATTTATATCCACAGTAAATCAAGTCCTATATCGACATAACCTGAAAGGTCGCTCAGCAAGGAAGAAGCCACTGCTCCAAAACCGCCATAAAAAAGCCAGACTACGGTTTGCAACTGCAAGTACAACAAAGTCAAGGTATTGGAGTGGCCATCACAAAGCCCTGACCTCAAGCCTATAGAAAATGTGTTTGCAGAACTGAAAAAGCGTGTGTGAGCAAGGAGGCCTACAAACCTGACTCAGTTACACCAGCTCTGTCAGGAGGAATGGGCCAAAATTCACCCAACTTATTGTTGGAAGCTTGTGGAAGCCTACCCGAAACAAGTTAAACAATTTAAAGGCAATGCTACCAAATACTAATTGAGTGTATGTAAACTTCTGACCCACTGGGAATGTGATGAAAGAAATAAAAGCTGAAATAAATCATTCTCTCTACTATTATTCACATTCTTAAAATAAAGTGGTGATCCTAACTGACCTAAAACAGGGAGGATTAAATGTCAGGAATTGTGAAAAACTGAGTTTAAATGTATTTGGCTAAGGTGTATGTAAACTTCCGACTTCAACTGTACGTACTGTGTGTTTGTGTGTGTGTGTATATATAGTACCAGTCAAAAGTTTGGACACACCTACTCATTCAGGGGTTTTTCTTTATTTCTACATTGTAGAATAATAGTGAAGACATCAAAATTATGAAATAACACATATGGAATCATGTAGTAACCAAGTCGTTACTCCAGCCACCCTAGTCGTACACTGTTCTCTCTGCTACCGCACGGCAAGCGGTACCGGAGCGCCAAGTCTAGGTCCAAAAGGCTTCTCAACAGCTTCTACCCCCAAGCCATAAGACTCCTGAACAGCTAATCATGGCTACCCGGACTATTTGCACTGCCCCCCCACCCCCACCCCATCATTTTACGCTGCTGCTACTCTGTTAATTATTTATGCATAGTCACTTTAACTCTACCCACATGTACATATTACCTCAACTAGCCGGTGCCCCCGCACATTGACTCTGCACCGGTACCCCCCTGTATATAGCCTCCCTACTGTTATTTTATTTTACTTCTGCTCTTTATTTCTCAACACTTTTTAGTTGTTATTTTATTTAACTTGTTTATTAAAAAATAAATGCATTGTTGGTTAAGGGCTGTAAGTAAGCATTTCACGGTAATGTCTACACCTGTTGTATTCGGCGCATATAAATACAATTTGATTTGATCTCACAAAGACATTGTGGTTGGAACCAAAAATCTCAAATTTGGACTCATCAGACCAAAGGACAGATTTCCACATTGCTCGTGTTTCTTGGCCCAAGCAAGTCTCTTCTTCTTATTGGTGTCCTTTAGTAGTGGATTCTTTGCAGCAATTCGATCTGATTCACGCGGTCTCCTCTGAGCAGTTGATGTTGAGATGTGTCTATACTTGAACACTGTGAAGCATTTATTTGGGCTGCAATTTCTGAGGCTGGTAACACTAATGAACTTATCCTCTGCAGCAGAGGTAACTCTGGGTCTTCCTTTCCTGTGGCGGTCCTCATGAGAGCCAGTTTCATCATTGCGACTGCACTTGAAGAAACGTTCAAAGTTCTTGACATTTTCCGGATTTACTGACCTTCATGTCTTAAAGTAATGATGGACTGTCGTTTCTCTTTGCTTATTTGAGTTGTTTTACCATAATATGGACTTGGTCTTTTACCAAATAGGGCTATCTTCTGTATTCCACCCCTACCTTGTCACAACACAACTGATTGGCTCAAACACGTTAAGAAGGAAAGAAATTCCACAAATTAACTTTTTAAGAAGGCACCCCTGTTAATTGAAATGCATTCCAGGTGACTACCTCATGAAGCTGGTTGAGAGAATGCCAAGAGTGTGCAAAGCTGTCATCAAGGCAAAGGGTGGCTTTTTGAAGAATCTCAAATATAAAATATATTTTGATTTGTTTAACACGTTTGTGGTTACTACATGATTTCATATGTGTTATTTCATAGTTTTGATGTCTTCACCACTGTTGTACAATGTAGAAAATAGTAAAAATAAAGAAAAACCCTTGAATGAGTAGGTGTGTCCAAACTTTTGACTGGTACTATATGTATATAAACAAGTTCAATCCGATGATGCTGTGACACACCGCCCCAGACCATGACGGACCTTCCACCTCCAAATCGATCCCGCTCCAGAGTACAGGCCTCGGTGTAACGCTCATTCCTTCGACGATAAACGCGAATCTGACCATCACCCCTGGTGAGACAAAACTGTGACTCGTCAGTGAAGAGCACTTTTTGCCAGTCCTGTCTGGTCCAGCGACGGTGGGTTTGTGCCCATAGGTGACGTTGTTGCCGGTGATGTCTGGTGAGGACCTGCCTTACAACAGGCCTACAAACCCTCAGTCCAGCCTCTTTCAGCCTATTGCGGACAGTCTGAGCACTGATGGAGGGATTGTGCGTTCCTGGTGTAACTCTGGCAGTTGTTGCCATCCTGTACCTGTCCCGCAGGTGTGATGTTCGGATGTACCGATCCTGTGCAGGTGTTGTTACACATGGTCTGCCACTGCGAGGACGATCAGCTGTCTATCCTGTCTCCCTGTAGCGCTGTCTTAGGCTTCTCACAGTACGGACATTGCAATGTATTGCCCTGGCCACATCTGCAGTCCTCATGCCTCCTTGCAGCATGCCTAAGGCACGTTCACGCAGATGAGCAGGGACCCTGGGCATCTTTCTTTTGGTGTTTTTCAGAGTCAGTAGAAAGGCCTCTTTAGTGTCCTAAGTTTTCTTAACGACCGTTCCACAGGTGCATGTTCATTAATTGTTTATGGTTCATTGAACAAGCATGGGAAACAGTGTTTAAACCCTTTACAATGAAGATCTGTGAAGTTATTTGGATTTTTACGAATTATCTTTGAAAGACAGCGTCCTGAAAATGGGACTTTTCTTTTATTGCTGAGTTTATATATACACACACACACACTACGGACTCCGACATTGCTCATCCTAATATTTATGTATATTTCTTAATTCCATTCTTTTAATTTTAGATTTGTGTGTATTGTTGTGAATTGTTAGATATTACTGCACTGTTGGAGCTAGGAACACAAGCATTTCACTACACCCGCAATAACATCTGCTAAATATGTGAATGCAACCAATAAAGTTTGATTTGATTAACCATTGTCTGTCCGTTCTATTTGTCGAGCAGAACGGAGGAAGACCAAGTGTCCTGCTTCATTCTTTGCGTGTCCTAGTGGTCGCTGTATCCCTATGAGCTGGACCTGCGACAAGGAGAACGACTGTGAGAACGGAGCTGACGAGACACACTGTGGTCAGTTCAGCTCAGATGGCTTTTTACTGGACTGCTAATCACTGTAGTCTTTCACCACACATTTCTGACAGATTGTCTTTCTCTTCATTGCATCTCTCTCGCTCTCTCTCGCTCACGCTCTCTTTTAGATAAGTTCTGCTCGGCCAGCCAGTTTGAATGCAGTAACCACCGCTGTATCCCCAACCGTTGGGTGTGTGACGGCGCTGACGACTGTGGTGATGGGACTGACGAGGGCAGCAAGTGCAGTGAGTGCGATTCACGCCACACATACACAATCTCTAACAGGGAGGTCACTTATTTGGAAATACTAGACTAATTCAAAACGAATGCACACAAAAGTAATTCCCTTGCCCCATATCTGTCTCCCCTCCTCCCCACACCTCCCCTCCTCTCCTGACAGAGAATAAGACGTGTAGTCCACATGCCTTCCAGTGTCCTGGCTCTCATGTGTGTGTCCCCCAGCACTGGAAGTGTGACGGGGACAAGGACTGTCCTGACGGGGTGGATGAGAGTGTCAAGGCTGGATGTGGTGAGTAGTGGATCAGTCAGAGGAGGATTATTGACTTATTGAATAGATATATCTTTACCTATGGAAGTATGGGAGATGTTACTTACCCCATACAATGTTAAGCGATTTGAGTTTAACAGAAGTTTTTATGAAATCATTATCAAATAATTACTTGCTGGTATACAGATTATTTTCATAATGCAGTACCTTATTGACTAACGAATGTCCCTCTGTCTGTCTGTGTGTCAGTGTTCAACAACACCTGTGATGAGAATGAGTTCATGTGTCAGAACAGACAGTGCATCCCCAAGCACTTTGTGTGTGATCATGACAAAGACTGCAGTGACGGCTCTGACGAGTCCCTAGAGTGTGGTGAGTGGATGACCCCTGACCCCTGTTGGGTAACCCCTCTTACACTCACACACTATCATGGTATCATTGTGTTAATCCTTAAACATTTGGAATGCATATTCTATTTTCATGAGACACTACATTACCAAAAGTATGTGGACACCTGCTCGTCGAACATCTCATTCCAAAATCTTTCCACTAGATGTTGGAACATTGCTGCGGTGACTTGTTTCCATTCAGCCACAAGAGCATTAGTGAGGTCGAACACTGATGTTGGGCGATTAGGCCTGGCTCGCAGTTGGCGTTCCAATTCATCCCAAAGGTGTTCGATGGGGTTGAGGTCAGGGCTCTGTGCAGGCCAGTCAAGTTCTTCCACACCGATCTCGACAAACCATTTCTGTATGGACCTCGCTTTGTGTACGGGGGAATTGTCATGCTGAAACAGGAAAGGGCCTTCCCCAAACTGTTGCCACAAAGTTGGAAGCACAGAATCGTCTAGAATGTAATTGTATGCTGTAGTGTTAAGATTTCCCTTCACTGGAACTAAGGGGCCTAGCCCGAACCATGAAAAACAGCCCCAGACAATGATTCCTCCTCCACCAAACTTTACAGTTGGCACTATGCAGTCGGGCAGGTATCGTTCTCCTGGCATTCTCCAAACCCAGATTTGCCAGATGGTGAAGCATGATTCATCACTCCAGAGAACGCGTTTCCACTGCTCGAGTCCAATGGCGGCAAGCTTTACACCACTCCAGCCGACGCTGACGTTGCTTCCAGAGGCAGTTTGGAATGGGGTAGTGAGTGTTGCAACCGAGGACAACCGATTTGTACGCGCTTCAGCACTCGGCGGTCCCGTTCTGTGAGCTTGTGTGGCCTACCACTTCGCGGCTGAGCCATTGTTGCTCCTAGACGTTTCCACTTCACAATAACACCACTTACAGTTGACCAGGGCAGCTCTAGCAGGGCAGAAATGTGATAAACTGACTTGTTGGAAAGGTGGCATCTTATGACAGTGCCACGTTGAAAGTCACTGAGCTCTTCACTAAGGCCATTCTGTCAGCAGCGGGTGTGGCTGAAATAGCCGAATCCACTAATTTGAAGAGATGTCCACATACTTTTGTGTGTGTATGTATGTATATATATATATATATATATATATATATATATATATATATATATATATATATATATATATATATATATATATATATATATATAATATATATATATATATATATATATATATATATATATATATATATATATATATATATATAGTGTATGTGATAGGCCTACTAGTGACATAACTGTAAAAAATAAAATGTAATTATACAACCAACCAATCACCCGTCTCTCCTTCCAGAGTACCCTACGTGTGGGCCCAATGAGTTCCGCTGTGCCAACGGCCGTTGCCTCATCCAGAGCTCCTGGGAGTGTGACGGAGAGTTTGACTGTCACGACCGCTCTGACGAAGCCCCCAAGAACCCCCACTGCAACGGCCCAGGTTAGAGACACACACACACACACACACACACACACACACACACACACACAGATGGTGCTAACTGTCTATTTTCTCTGGGGCCTAAGAGATTTCCATCTCAGCCCACTATTTGCAAGGAATTTTAAGGGATTTCAAAAATCCCTGCTAAATTGCTAAATTGGATTTAGTCCAATGTGTGAGCGAAGTCCCCTCTTCCTTAGATATTCACTCTCTTTTCTCCTCTTCCTGACCCACCGTCCTCCAATCTGTCCTCCCCTCTGTCCAAAACAGAGAAGAAATGTAACGACACGGTGTACGCTTGCGGTAACGGGAACTGTGTCAATGAGACGCTGCTGTGTGACCGGAATGATGACTGCGGTGACGGCACTGACGAGCTCAACTGCTTCATCAATGAGTGTCTGAACAGCAAGCTCAGCGGCTGCTCCCAGCTCTGTGAGGACCTCAAGATAGGCTTCAAGGTAAGGATGCACCTACACCTGGAGAGCTTCTGCTAAATAAATAGTTAACGGTGATGACTGTTAATCTGTAGTCATTGCCATTTTATATTGTCAACTACGTAACAACTATTGTCGGAAAGGTTAACCATTGTGTAGTAGTACACACAGCCTTACGTCTCCTCTCCTGTGTGGCCGTGCAGTGCAGATGCCACCCTGGCTTCCGCCTGAAGGATGATGGGAAGACGTGCGTGGACATAGACGAGTGTACGACTAGCTACCCCTGCACCCAGCGCTGCATCAACACCCATGGATCCTTCCACTGTCTATGTGTGGAGGGCTTCCAGCTCAGCCCCAGTGACCCCACCATCTGCAAGTCCACCTCTGGTAAGAGCTGGTGGAGGGGGGTATGAGGTGGTAAGACCTGGAGGGGTGGATGGGGGTGAGAGGAGGAGTGGAGCTCTACCTACTCTGACTGTTGTATAAATGTGTAAGGAGGGCCTGAAGTTGAGCTTGATGACCTTATCTTCCAAAAAATCCTTATTTTGTCCAGAGGAGGAGCCCTTCCTGATCTTTGCCAACCGTTACTACCTAAGGAAACTCAACCTGGATGGTTCCAACTACACCCTGCTCAAACAGGTGAGACTGGAGCCTCAACACCTCATAGGCCTACAACAGGTGGAAATACCACATTGCTCCATATAACAATCACGCTATGTTTGATCACTTCTCTCCCATTGTGTGTGTGTGTGTGTGTGTGTATTAGGGCCTGAACAACGCGGTGGCGCTGGACTTTGACTACAGACAGCAGATGATCTACTGGACAGACGTGACCACTCAGGGCAGCATGATCCGACGCATGCACATCAACGGCAGCGACGTACAGGTCAGTGTGGCTCCATTATCTCTTTACCTCTTAGAAATATACAACATTTGATTGGTAGCATACATTTAGTTGCATGTGGGGAACTGAACCGTAATTTCTGATTGGCTCTTTGGCAGGTCCTTCACCGCACGTCTCTTAGCAACCCTGATGGTCTGGCTGTTGATTGGGTGGGAGGGAACCTGTACTGGTGTGACAAGGGGCGGGACACCATCGAGGTGTCCAAGCTGAACGGGGCCTACCGGACGGTCCTGGTCAACACCGGTCTGAGGGAACCACGCGCTGTGGCGGTCGACGTACGAAACGGGTACAAACATAGCTATAAATAACAAGCAGGAATCATATTCTCTTATTTTCTCTTTGAGTGCTGCTCAAATATTGTATATAGCATTTCAAATGTTGAGTATAGCATTGATTATTTTACTTCAAGAGAGACTGGCATTGATCCTCACTTTGCTGAGAATGTAGTGTGATATTATGACCACTCACATGGGTGTTCTGAGTGGTTCTGAAGCCTCACACTGAGCTGTGTCCCTGCCAGGTACCTGTACTGGTCCGACTGGGGTGACAACCCCCACATAGGGAGGATAGGGATGGATGGCGCCAACAGGACTGTGATTGTAGAGGACAGGATCACCTGGCCCAACGGCCTCACTCTGGACTTCATCAACGACCGTATCTACTGGGCCGACGCCAGAGAGGACTACATAGAGTTTGCCAGCCTGGACGGGACCAACCGACACACTGGTAACGCACTCTGTCATACAACACGCACATTTTGATATGTATTACATTTACATTTACGTCATTTAGCAGACGCTCTTATTGATATTACAACACACACGATGAAACGGAAGTCGGATACACTATACACACCACATACTCATCAGTAAATACATCACTGTTGGCGGACTTCCTGCTTGTTTCTGACGTGTGTCTGTTTCTCTGTGTGCTTCCCCACCCTGCAGTGTTAAGCCAGGACATCCCCCACATCTTTGCCATGACTCTGTTTGAGGAGTACATCTACTGGACCGACTGGGAGACCAAGTCCATCAACAGGTGTCACAAAACCCTGGGCACCAACAAGACCATGCTGATCAGCACCCTGCACCGGCCCATGGACATCCACATCTACCACCCTTACCGCCAGCCAGAGGGGATGAGTAAGTCTACTGTTACCGCCACCTAAACACCCTGTCACGTATCGATGTGTGCTTGCACTCCTCTCACCTGGGCCTATTGTGTGTGATTGGTTGACCCACAGTGGCCAACCACCCGTGTCAGACCGATAACGGAGGATGCAGTAACCTGTGCCTGCTGTCGCCTGGTGGGGGGTACAAGTGTGCCTGTCCTACTAACTTTTACCTGGCCAGTGATGGGAGACGGTGTATGTCCAACTGCACTGCCAGTCAGGTGAGTTTAGCCAACTCGTCTGTTTCATGATGTTGTGTCAATAGTGTCATTCTCTGCCTTTATGTGCTCAGAATTATTCTTTCTCTCTCTCTCTTCCCCCACAATCTCTTTCTTTCTCTTTCCCTCTTCCTCTCCATCCTCCCTCTCTTCCTCCCTCCCTCTCTCCCTGCAGTTTGTGTGTAAGAATGACAAGTGCATTCCGTTCTGGTGGAAGTGTGACACAGAGGATGATTGTGGGGACCGGTCAGACGAGCCTACGGAATGCCGTGAGTGACAGACAGTCCTAGTCCATGAACACTATCTATCATAGCTGCACTGTACTAAAGTCCTGGTTGACTGATGTTGAGTTGTATTTGGTATACCCCTGTAGCTGAGTTCAAGTGCAGGCCCGGCCAGTTCCAGTGTGGTACAGGTATCTGTACCAACCCAGCCTACATCTGTGATGGAGACAACGACTGCCAGGACAACTCTGATGAGGCCAACTGTGACATCCATGTCTGTCTACCTAGTCAGTTTAAGTGTAGCCACCCCAGCCGCTGTATACCTGGGATCTTCCGCTGTAACGGCCAGGACAACTGTGGAGAGGGGGAGGACGAGATGGACTGCCGTGAGTAGACTGCTTTTCCTACAGTATTGGCTTGTATGGAGGGGTTAAAGACAGGGAATATGGAGGATATCCTACTTCTAGTATACTGCACCAACTTCTAGTCTTTTCAAATCAGTGTTTTTGTGTTCTTTTCAGCCTACCATGTTTTCTACGCACATTGAAATGTATAATTTAATTCATTTGAAATGTATGTTTACAAAGACTAGGAGAGAAAGCCATGCATCATATACGGATATTGGTAAGTGACGGTCTACTCTCTCCTTTCTGTCCCATGCAGCGGAGGTGACTTGTGCCCCTAACCAGTTCCAGTGTGCCATCACCAAGCGCTGTATCCCCCGTGTCTGGGTGTGTGACAGGGACAACGACTGTGTGGACGGATCTGACGAGCCTGCCAACTGCAGTAATGATCCACTCTACTGTCACATCCAGCATCTTTCTCCCTTCTCCTTGACTCCTCTCCTCTCCCCTTTCTCACCTCCCTCCCTTCTCTTTCTATCTCCCTTCATTTTATTCTCTCTCTGATCTCTAACATCCCCCCTTCCCTCTCCCCCTCCAGCCCAGATGACGTGTGGCGTGGATGAGTTCCGCTGCAAGGACTCTGGTCGCTGCATCCCGGCCCGATGGAAGTGTGACGGAGAGGACGACTGTGGAGACGCATCAGACGAACCCAAGGAGGAGTGTGGTGAGTGATGGAGGGAGGAATGAAGGGTTGGAGGTAGAGATTGAGATGGTGGGATAGGAATGGAGAGATTGCCAAGCATCTTTTGTGTTGTGTTTTACATAATTGTATATATTGAAATATCTGTTTATAATTTCTACTTTGACTGTATACTGTATATGTTGTGTCCTCAGATGAGAGGACATGTGAGCCGTACCAGTTCCGGTGTAAGAACAACCGTTGTGTCCCGGGTCGTTGGCAGTGTGACTATGACAATGACTGTGGCGACAACTCTGATGAGGACAAGTGTGGTAGGTCCCCTCTGTCCTGTCCAGTCTGTGATGCCAGGGCTAGTGCTCCTGTCTCCTGTCTCTTCTCACTATGGGGAGATTAGAGCTACAGAATATATGTGTATTTCATTTGTACATGATGCCTTCTTTCACTGTATGGGTTCAGCTACATCTGTTCCCCAAACAGATAATTTAATCGTTTTTTAAAGGTACAGTGGGGGAAAAAAGTATTTAGTCAGCCACCAATTGTGCAAGTTCTCCCACTTAAAAAGATGAGAGAGGCCTGTAATTTTCATCATAGGTACACGTCAACTATGACAGACAAAATGTCGCTGGGCAACACGGACTTTCAACTCCCTCCAAAGATTTTCTATGGGGTTGAGATCTGGAGACTGGCTAGGCCACTCCAGGACCTTGAAATGCTTCTTACGAAGCCACTCCTTCGTTGCCCGGGCGGTGTGTTTGGGATCATTGTCATGCTGAAAGACCCAGCCACGTTTCATCTTCAATGCCCTTGCTGATGGAAGGAGGTTTTCACTCAAAATCTCACGATACATGGCGCCATTCATTCTTTCCTTTACACGGATCAGTCGTCCTGGTCCCTTTGCAGAAAAACAGCCCCAAAGCATGATGTTTCCACCCCCATGCTTCACAGTAGGTATGGTGTTCTTTGGATGCAACTCAGCATTCTTTGTCCTCCAAACACGACGAGTTGAGTTTTTACCAAAAAGTTATATTTTGGTTTCATCTGACCATGTGACATTCTCCCAATCCTCTTCTGGATCATCCAAATGCACTCTGGTGATCATTTTGACCCCACGGGGTGAGATCTTGTGTGGAGCCCCAGATCGAGGGAGATTATCAGTGGTCTTGTATGTCTTCCATTTCCTAATAATTGCTCCCACAGTTGATTTCTTCAAACCAAGCTGCTTACCTATTGCAGATTCAGTCTTCCCAGCCTGGTGCAGGTCTACAATTTTGTTTCTGGTGTCCTTTGACAGCTCTTTGGTCTTGGCAATAGTGGAGTTTGGAGTGTGACTGTTTGAGGTTGTGGACAGGTGTCTTTTATACTGATAACAAGTTCAAACAGGTGTCATTAATACAGGTAACGAGTGGAGGGCTTCTCTTAAAGAAGAAGTTACAGGTCTGTGAGGGCCAGAAATCTTGCTTGTTTGTAGGTGACCAAATAATTATTTCCCACCATAATTTGCAAATAAATTCATTAAAAATCCTACAATGTGATTTTCTGTAAAAAAAAATCTCAATTTGTCTGTCATAGTTGACGTGTACCTATGATGAAAATTACAGGCCTCATCTTTTTAAGTGGGAGAACTTGCACAATTGGTGGCTGACTAAATACTTTTTTTCCCCACTGTACACTGTTGATTGTTTGTGTATGTGTGTTCACTCAACTGCGCTGCACATTCAAGATTTTGATTTCCATTGCTTTGATTTTACTTTGTGACCATTTGCACATCTCACATCATCATGTTTATTCTGCATTTCACACTGGCCTGTTGACGTGGTTTAGAGGTAGGTGTCTTCACTATCAGCACGACCACCCCAACACTCCCAACCTACCACCAATCTACCCAAGCCCCAAGTGTCTTGTCTACAGTAACTATCCTATTGCCATTAGGGGGAAAAAATATACACAAAACATTTAAAAAGTAGATTTGCTCCTTGACTCCTTCTTAAAAAGTGTGCTTACGCTATCCAGACTAAGCTCCTTTCCAATCCCACTAGCCCTTTTAGCCCCTCCCCCTCCTGGTGTAACATGTGACCCAGTGTACTCCCATTCCCCCATCCTTTGATATGTCCCTCGCTACCAGTCTTTTTCTCCTATCTTTACAGCCATTTTACCCTCATGACATACATCTGTGTCTGGAAGTTCTTATTCTTTTCCACACCCCTAAATCTCTCCTCCCTCTCTCCACACCTCTCCTCCCTCTCTACTCACCTCTCCTCACCTCTCCTCCCTCTCCTCCCTCTCTCCTCACCTCTCCTCCCTCTCTACTCACCTCTCCTCCCTCTCTCCTCACCTCTCCTCTCTCTCCTCACCTCTCCTCTCTCTCCCTTCAGTGCCGAGGCAGTGTTCAGAGAGTGAGTTTTCCTGTACCAACGGTCGCTGCATCGCCGGGAGGTGGAAGTGTGATGGAGACCATGACTGTGCTGATGGATCAGACGAGGTACAGTGACACTGTTATTAAAAATAGAGTAAAATGACTCGCAACAAATTAATGGAAAGTGAAAACTTCCTCACTGTTCTATGCTCCCAAACATGGAAAGTCAATGCCATCCCCAATCTTACAAGTATATGTCCTAGCTCATTGTCACAATGAATACATCATTAATAGACCAGGATTGTTAATTTACACATGAATAGCATTGTCATTAGCGTGACATAGTACAGTGCCTTGCAAAAGTATTCATCCCCCTTGGCGTTTTTCCTATTTTGTTGCATTACAACCTGTAATTTAAATGGATTTTTATTTGGATTTCATGTAATGGACATAAACAAAATAGTCCAAATTGGTGATGTAAAAAAAATAAAAATAAATAACGTGTTTAAAAAAATTCAAAAAAATAAATAGCGGAAAAGTGGTGCATGCATATGTATTTACCCCCTTTTCTATGAAGCCCCTAAATAAGATCTGGGTGCAACCAATTACCTTCAGAAGTCACATAATTAGTTAGATTGCACACAGGTGAAATTTACATGATCTCAGTGTATATATACACCTGTTCTGAAAGAGTCTGCAACACCACTAAGCAAGGGGCACCACCAAGCAAGCGGCACCATGAAGACCAAAGAGCTCTCCAAGCAGGTCAGGGACAAAGTTGTGGAGAAGTACTGATCAGGGTTGGGTTATAAAAAAATATCAGAAACTTTGAACATCCCACGGAGCACCATTTTTAAATCCATTATTTTAAAAATGGAAAGAATATGGCACCACAACAAACCTGCCAAGAGTGGGCCGCCCACCAAAACTCACGGACCAGGCAACGAGGGCATTAATCAGAGAGGCAACAAAGGGACCAAAGATAACTGGTAAGCTGCAAAGCTCCACAGCGGAGATTGGAGTATCTGTCCATAGGACCACTTTAAGCCGTACACTCCACAGAGCTGGGCTTTACGGAAGAGGGGCCAGAAAAAAAGCCATTGCTTAAAGAAAATAAGCAAACACGTTTGGTGTTCGCCAAAAGCCATGTGGGAGACTCCCTAAACATATGTCAGAAGGTACTCTGGTCAGATGAGACTAAAATTGAGCTGTTGGCCATCAAGGAAAACGCTATATCTGGCACAAACCCAACACCTCTCATCACCTTTCATCGGCAGGGACTGGGAAACTGGTCAGAATTGAAGGAATGATGGATGGCGCTAAATACAGGGAAATTCTTGAGGGAAACCTGTTTCAGCCTTCCAGAGATTTGAGACTGAGAGGGAGGTTCACCTTCCAGCAGGACAATGACCATAAGCATACTGCTAAAGCAACACTTGAGTGGTTTAAGGGGAAACATTTAAATGTCTTCTCAATCCAATTGAGAATCTGTGGTATGACTTAAAGATTGCTGTACACCAGCGGAACCCATCCAACTTGAAGGAGCTGGAGCAGTTTTGCCTTGAAGAATGGGCAAAAATCCCAGTGGCTAGATGTGCCAAGCTTATAGAGACATACCCCAAGAGACTTGCAGCTGTAATTGCTGCAGAAGGTGGCACTACAAAGTATTGACTTTTGGGGGGGGGGGGGGGGGGGGGGGTGAATAGTTATGCACGCTCATGTTTTCTGTTTTTTATTGTCTTATTTCTTGTTAGTTTCACACAAAAAAATTTTTTGCATCTTCAAAGTTGTAGGCATGTTGTGTAAATCAAATGATACAAACCCCCCAAAAATCTAAAAACATTTAATTCCAGATTGTAAGGCAACAAAATAGGAAAAATGCCAAGGGGAGTGAATACTTTCGCAAGCCACTGTAAGTGATGTCCCTGTGTGTCTTCCTGCAGAATGGCTGTGATGTGAAGTGTGACAGTGATCAGTTCCAGTGTAAGAACGGCCACTGTATCCCCATCCGCTGGCGTTGTGATGCAGACCCTGACTGTATGGACGGCAGTGACGAGGAGAAGTGTGACAGCGGAGGTGAGTTTTACACACGTCTTGTACTGTACGCATACTGTTCATTAAGTACAAGTTGTGAGCATCTATTTCATAGAGAAAAGTAACTCTCTCTCTCTCACTCACTCAGTGGGTAGACACTGCCCCCTGGATGAGTTCCAGTGTAACAACACTCTGTGTAAGCCCCTGGCCTGGAAGTGTGACGGCGAGGACGACTGTGGAGACAACTCTGATGAGAACCCAGAGGAGTGCAGTGAGTCCCCATGACATCAATAACACTGTCCCTGAGGATCATTCAACACCTACCTCACACCTGTCATCTCTTCTCTTCTATCCATCCCTCAGATAAATTCCAGTGCCCACCCAGAAGGCAGTTCCGCTGCCACAACGACCGTGTCTGCCTGCCGATAGCCAGGCGCTGTGACGGTGTTGATAACTGCGGGGACAACAGTGATGAGCTCAACTGCCGTGAGTTGCTAGTAGTAGAGAGTTATGGAGTGGACTTTTACAATAGAGTTACTGAGTTGAATGGATGGTTATGGAGTTGAAATAATGATGCCGCCTCCCTGTTTTCCTCCAGAGATGACTCCTACCACGCCAGTCTGTGAGAAGGATGAGTTCCAGTGCTCAAACGGCCGCTGCATCAGTTCCAACCTGCGCTGTGACTACTTTAACAACTGTGAGGACTACGGCTCTGACGAGATCGGCTGCAACAAGAAGGGTGTGTGTTACATCTTGGCATGCAAGAGTAGTGTGTGTGTGTCTGTCTGTCTGTTTGTCTGTATGTATGAACATGTTATTGTCTGTAAGTTTGACTATGTCCTATCTGGTTCTTTGCAGACTCTTCCCTGAATGACTGCCGCAATAACAGAACAGTGTGTGGTGACGGTGATGAGGCCCACTGTGTGGTGAATGGCACTGATGCCTTCTGCTCCTGCAAACCTGGCTTCAAGACCACAGGCAACAACAGATGTGAAGGTACAGTGCAGCACCACATCACTGGTTCAAATACACTCTATATGTTACTGTTATGACTAAATGTCAGGTGTAGTCTAGTGATTTATAACCCAAATCCTTTTGCTTTGGGGTGTTGTTCACAGATAAGAATGAATGTAGGCAGTTTGGAGTGTGTTCCCACATCTGCAACAACACCAAGGGCTCCCACAAGTGCAGCTGCCACAGGTACTTCACCAGGATCAACGACACCTGCAAGGTTGACAGTGAGTACTGCTCAGTTCAGCAATACCAGTGGATCAGTTACAGTTACTGCTTCTCTATGTCTTTAGAAACCTGTCTGAATTTGTCTCTGTTTGTGACCGAGGCTAAAACATTCAATGTGTGTGTGTGTTACATTTTATTAGATATCAGTTAGTGTATGAGTGTGCTAAATAGCTCTTAGCTACGCAAGAAAAGAGTCTTATAACCATAAGTCAGGGGATGTCCTAACTCAGGTTGTGACCTCACTTCCTCTGTCCTCCCAGATTTGAGACAGGTGCTCTACATCGCCGACGACAACGAGATCCGCAGCCTGGACCCTGGCATGCCCAACTGGCTCTATGAGCAGACCTTCCAGGGCGATGCCAACGTGCGCATTGATGCCATGGACCTGCACGTCAAGTCCAACCGCATCTACTGGACCAACTGGCACACGGGCAGAATCTCTTCCTACGAGTTGCCATCCTCATCTTCCTCACCTAACAGTAACAACAACCGCCACCGCCGCCAGAGCGACTCCCGCGTCACCAACCTGGAGGTGTGTGTCTGTGTCTTGTCCGTGCTCAGATAGTCTTGACTGCTCATGTCATGACCTTTGCCCTTTCACACAAACAATGATTTAACTGGTATTGTCCTCCCCGTTCTCCCCCTCTCCCTGTGTTCAGATCCCCGGTCTGAAGATGCCCCGTGGCATCGCCGTGGACTGGGTGGCAGGGAACATCTACTGGACAGACTCTGGTCGAGACGTGATCGAGGTGGCCCAGATATCAGGCCAACACCGCAAAACCCTCATCTCCGGCATGATCGACGAGCCCTACGCCATCGTAGTGGACCCCCAGAGAGGGTGAGTCTGCCTTGGGAGAGAAGGATAGTGGGGGTGGGAGAGTAGTCTGGACTAGTGTGGAAATATATGGGTCTGGAAGAGAATTCCTAAGCCCTCAAACAGATCCTTATTTGCGCACACTTTTTTTTTGTAACCTTTATTTAACTAGGCAAGTCAGTTAAGAACAAATTCTTATTTACAATGACGGCCTACCCCGGCCAAACCCGGACGACGCTGGGCCAATTGTGCACCGCCCTTTGGCGGCACATACTGCTTTCTGATACTGTATTTAAATGATAAGACTAACGATAGAAAGATGGTGCGCTAGACCAGTGACAAATCAACTGGACATCCAGTAGATATGGTGAAACACACCTAATGTTCCCGCATTACTATGTGATGGTTCATGTAACTGGTTGTTGATGCTGTGTATCCATTAGGACCATGTACTGGGCTGACTGGGGAAACCACCCCAAGATTGAGACTGCTGCCATGGACGGAACCATGAGAGAGACACTGGTACAGGACAACATCCAGTGGCCCACAGGTAACATACACACACAAACAAACAAACAAACAAACAAACAAACAAACAAACAAACAAACCACAAACATTTTATAGACTGAATGACAGGTCGATTTCTCCACAAATTGAAGGATGTGTTGTAAAGAGCTTTGTTTCACTCAATAAGCTTAGCCTCAAACTGACATGTCTCATTGACTTCTCTCTCTCTCTCTCTCTCTGCTTATCTCTCTCTCTTCCTCTTTCTCCCTCCCTCCTTCTCTCTCCCTCCCTCCCCCCTCTCTCTCCAGGCCTGGCGGTAGACTACTTTAACGAGCGTCTGTACTGGGCCGATGCTAAGCTGTCAGTGATTGGCAGTGTGAGGCTGAATGGCAGCGACCCGGTGGTGGCTGTGACCAGCATTAAGAACAGTTGAGTGACCTGCACGGGTCTGGGTTTAAAGACCTGGGCTGACATTGCTAAGCCACAGAATCATGTTTTGGTTAGAGATACTGTATGTGGGCCCATTTTTAGATGTGGAATCTTCTCATGACACTAGGACTGTCAAGAATGTGTGCATTAAATTGGAGCATGCTGATATATATGAAAAAGTATGTATTTTAGAATAGCCTATAGTATATCAGCGGTAAAGAGTTGGTCTGAGCTGTGTTCTGTCTTGTTTGTTCCAGAGCTCCACCACCCATTCAGTATTGACGTGTTTGAGGACTACATCTATGGCGTCACCTATATCAACAACTTTGTGTTCCGGGTCAACAAGTATGGCAAAGGCCCCATGGAGAACCTGACTACAGGAATGAACCACGCCACGGACATCGTACTCTACCACCGCAACAAACAGCCTGAGAGTGAGTGGACATCACAGTTATTTGCATGACAATCACCGGCTGACAAATGTCATTACCGCCACAGCCCTAGTAGAGCACAACACAGCTATTCTCCAAATGCTCTTTCAGGGATGAATTCTAACTTGAGATGTGTGCACATAACTAGGCCTACGACAAATTGACTTGCACACCAAAGATCTCAAGTTAGGCTTAGGTCTTTACAGTCCAAGGGCCACCCACCAAAAATGTGTTGTTCCGTGACCCCGAAAATGAAATTGCAAAATGTCAACTACACAATGTAGATAATGTTATGAACATGAATACTTTGTGATTCAAAACTTGTAAAAATTGCACATTTTGTATCTTTAATCAAAATTATGATATTTAGCAGCGAAATCACACCACATCTTGGGTAATTTCCCTAGCTAAGTTCCGACATTGCTATGTTTCACCTTGGTTACTTTTGTTGCACACTGGCGCACAGAACTATTTGTGCTTTTGGTGTTCGTCCTTGCATCAGCTCAAGCGACACATTACCTTCACTGAACCAGATGAACCCCAAATGAGGAAATATGTTTTAACCATGTCAGTGGTTTTCTCAGTTAATAGAAGACGTTTTGGCAGCTTAGCCTACAAGGGTCATCATTGCGCTTGCCTGCTAGACAAACTAAAGACAGCACGTTTGCTAGCTAGCACAGCTCTCAAAATAAGCTAAATAAAACGCATGTTTCAACAGCTTCTTATTATTTCTGCAGTCCTCTGGTTTGGTAGCCTAAATGTGTTGTTTCTGAAGGCATGGACAACGGAACATGTGTAACAATTGCAACCAAGATGTAACATGGCAACCTCATAATGTTGCTAGGAGAAATTACCCCCAAAATACGCTATGATTTCGAAATCGTTCTTTTGATTTATAATATTTAATGAACTTTTAAAATGTTTGAACCACACAGTGTTCATATGCATAACATTATCTACATAATGATGTTTAAACTTTGCAGTTTTGTTTCCTGGGTCAAGGAATGTCTTTTCTGAAGCCTTTTTTGATGGGTGGCCCTTGGACTATTAGAGGATAGACTTACAATCTGGTATAATTGTGTTAAAGGGGGGCTGAACTTGGTCATTAAGAAATGCAGTGGCCATGACTGAAGCCAAACGAGAGTTGGGGGGGAGGGGGGGTTTAATGTGGGTGTCTCGTGTGTGTTCGCACGTGGCAAGGGTTTGTACATTCACTCTGCCAAAACAGTGCACAGTTAGTCACTCTTCTAGGTAACTTAAAACAGTCTAACCAGGTCTTGTGTCTTGAAGTTGCCTAGGCTAGCTAGTGGTAGCCAACTTCTTTTGCCAATTAGCTTCAGCCTGCTGGTGTGGACCGTGGCAAAGTTGGTTTGACATTGGATAGCCTATCTCTGGGGCTAGTTAGGGACCGTCAACTACACAATGTACATATAATTAAAATAAATAATTAGTCATTTAGCAGACGCTCTTATCCAGAGCGACTTACAGGAGCAATTAGGGTTAAGTGCCTTGCTCAAGGGCACCGACAGATTTTTCACCTAATCGGCTCGGGGATTAGAACCAGCGACCTTTCGGTTACTGGCACAACGCTCTTACCCACTAAGCTACCTGCCGCCCATGGGACAATATTTTCATTTTGCACATATTGTCTCATTAAATGCGTTCAATATTTATATGCAACATTTTTTAATTGGTTTGAGATTAAGTCATTTACATTTTGAGCTATTTACATTTTTTAAAGATATTGTCCCATGTACTTTGATATCAAATGTCAAACCAAATTGACCATGGGCGTAACGATCTGGTCGTGTGCAGCTGCACTCCGAATTAGTGATTACTTAGGTGCTGTGGGCATGAGGGCAGGATTAAAATAAACCCAACCCGAGGAAAACTGTTACATTACCCTTCATTCCGTGACATACAATTCTTTCCTATCATCTCGCAAATCTCTGTTTTGGACGAGACTTTATGACCAAAATTATCCTATTTACACTTTGTAGTCAATTTTGACACTAGAATAAATGTTTGACTCACATCGATGACACTTTTTTCAAAAAGAGAAGTTGCATTTTAGGGGCAGTGACTTTTTAACATCTTAAGGATCAGACCCTTTTTTTCAATTTTCGCCTAAAATGACATACCCAAATCTAACTGCCTGTAGCTCAGGACCTGAAGCAAGGATATGCATACCATTTGAAAGGAAACACTTTGAAGTTTGTGGAAATGTGAAATTAATGTAGGAGAACAACACATTAGATCTGGTAAAAGATAATACAAACAAAAAAACATGCGTTTTCTATTTTTTGTTTTGTTCCATCTTTGAAATGGAAGAGAAAGGCCACAATATAATATTGCAATTTAGACGCACTTTAGATTTTGGCCAATAGATGGCAGCAGTGTGTGTGCAAAGTTTCAGATTGATCCAGTGATTGCAATACTGGACTATTTTGTATCAAGTCTGGGCAAATGTGCCGAATTGGTCAATTGATACATTTTCAAGTACATAACTATAGAGAAAATACAAAAATGATATGGTAAAACAAATTTAAGTTCACACACTCCCAGGAATGTCATACATGATGGATCGCTAGCCTATACAGTGGGGGAAAAAAGTATTTAGTCAGCCACCAATTGTGCAAGTTCTCCCACTTAAAAAGATGAGAGAGGCCAGTAATTTTCATCATAGGTACACGTCAACTATGACAGACAAAATGAGAGAAAAAAATCCAGAAAATCACATTGTAGGATTTTTAATGAATTTATTTGCAAATTATGGTGGAAGATAAGTATTTGGTCACCTACAAACAAGCAAGATTTCTGGCTCTCACAGACCTGTAACTTCTTCTTTAAGAGGCTCCTCTGTCCTCCACTCGTTACCTGTATTAATGGCACCTGTTTGAACTTGTTATCAGTATAAAAGACACCTGTCCACAACCTCAAACAGTCACACTCCAAACTCCACTATGGCCAAGACCAAAGAGCTGTCAAAGGACACCAGAAACAAAATTGTAGACCTGCACCAGGCTGGGAAGACTGAATCTGCAATAGGTAAGCAGCTTGGTTTGAATAAATCAACTGTGGGAGCAATTATTAGGAAATGGAAGACATACAAGACCACTGATAATCTCCCTCGATCAGGGGCTCCACGCAAGATCTCACCCCGTGGGGTCAAAATGATCACAAGAATGGTGAGCAAAAATCCCAGAACCACACGGGGGGACCTAGTGAATGACCTGCAGAGAGCTGGGACCAAAGTAACAAAGCCTACTATCAGTAACTCACTACGCCGCCAGGGACTCAAATCCTGCAGTGCCAGACGTGTCCCCCTGCTTAAGCCAGTACATGTCCAGGCCCGTCTGAAGTTTGCTAGAGTGCATTTGGATGATCCAGAAGAGGATTGGGAGAATGTCATATGGTCAGATGAAACCAAAATATAACTTTTTGGTAAAAACTCAACTCGTCGTGTTTGGAGGACAAAGAATGCTGAGTTGCATCCAAAGAACACCATACCTACTGTGAAGCATGGGGGTGGAAACATCATGCTTTGGGGCTGTTTTTCTGCAAAGGCACCAGGATGACTGATCCGTGTAAAGGAAAGAATGAATGGGGCCATGGATCGTGAGATTTTGAGTGAAAACCTCCTTCCATCAGCAAGGGCATTGAAGATGAAACGTGGCTGGGTCTTTCAGCATGACAATAATCCCAAACACACCGCCCGGGCAAGGAAGGAGTGGCTTCGTAAGAAGCATTTCAAGGTCCTGGAGTGGCCTAGCCAGTCTCCAGATCTCAACCCCATAGAAAATCTTTGGAGGGAGTTGAAAGTCTGTGTTGCCCAGCGACAGCCCCAAAACAGATCTGCATGGAGGAATGGGCCAAAATACCAGCAACAGTGTGTGAAAACCTTGTGAAGACTTACAGAAAACGTTTGACCTGTGTCATTGCCAACAAAGGGTATATAACAAAGTATTGAGAAACTTTTGTTATTGACCAAATACTTATTTTCCACCATAATTTGCAAATAAATTCATTAAAAATCCTACAATGTGATTTTCTGGATTTTTTTCTCTCATTTTGTCTGTCATAGTTGACGTGTACCTATGATGAAAATTACTGGCCTCTCTCATCTTTTTAAGTGGGAGAACTTGCACAATTGGTGGCTGACTAAATACTTTTTTCCCCCACTAAGTACTGTACATTATTTACCTTAAGAGGTGAATGTATTTAACCAGTTGCCGTGATAAGTTTTGTTGTTGTTGTGCACTCTCCTCAAACAATAGCGTGGTATTTTTTCACTGTAATAGCTACTGTAAATTGAACAATGCAGTTAGAATAACAAGAATGTAAGCTTTCTGCCCATATAAGACATGTCTATGTCCTGGAAAGTTTGCTGTTTCTTACAACAGTCATGCTATACGGGACACCGATCCCGTAGAGGTTAACTTGTGTTCTCTCCCTCCCTCTGTCTGTCTGTCTGTCTCTCTCTCTCTCGCTCTCTGTCTGTCAGTCACCAACCCATGTGACAGGAAGAAATGTGAGTGGTTGTGTCTGCTCAGCCCCAGTGGTCCAGTCTGTACCTGTCCCAACGGACGCACCCTGGACAACGGAACCTGTGTGGAGCTCCCTACTCCTACACTCTCCCCTATCTGTGAGTATACAAAGTCCTACACACCCACACTCTCCCTATGTGAGTACACACTAACACCGATATACCAAAACTGTTATATTCAACATGTGTTCACATACTCATACAGATTAGATTAGAATTCTTTGTCTGATTTTCACCGATATTTACTTTACGTACAAGAAAATGCACTGCGATATGGTGAGACATGGCATAGGCCAGACATAACATCAAACATACACATTCATGAATAAAACAAGAATAACAGCTTAAGGACACTTACCC